TATCCTATCCTATCCTATCCTATCCTATCCTATCCTATCCTATCCTATCCTGAGTCTCTACTTCTACTCCTGCTTTAAAATCATTTCTTTAAGACACCTTCAACTTTTGCTTCACTGGATTTGAGCGAATCTTATGTTAATAAACATAAGGAACCGATAGGAATATAATGCCTTTCTCTTTTTGTTTGGTAGATTTATTTTAACAATGGAATACCAGGGTATGTTTTATTGCACAGTTTGATGTATCTTTATGACTTCAAAATAGCAACAAATAAAGACTAATGAAGGTCGCACTTTAAAAGACTAACAGAGATTAAGTTTCCACCAGAAAAAGCTTAAACCTCAATACATTAGTTAACTTTTAAGCACATTACGCACATTCTCCCTCCCTCCCTGCCTCTGTGTAGTATTTGTGTTTGATGAAATTGAGCCTCAGGTTATTTATCCCTGAGGGATATTTTCCAAACCTTCAATCATAGGTTTGTACTGCCACCTTCTGGAACAATAAGGAATTACAAAGAAAAAAAATGCTGTATAAGGCAGGAGTCCCCAAACTTGGCAACTTTAAGACTTGTGGACTTCAACTCCCCTAATTCCTCCTCCAGTCATGTTAGCTCAGGAATTCTGGGAGTTGAAGTCCACAAGTCTTAAAGTTGCCAAGTTTGGGGATTTATGGTCTTGATTGTACGTTTTTCTCATCCCTTTACTCCATGCTTTGCCCTAAATCGCTAGTTTATTTGAAACTTTTTTTTCTGACTTCATTATTTTACAGATGTATTCAGTTCTTCTAAAAAAAATAGAGCATGGAACGTATTTCCCATCCTCCATCTTTCTTCTGAAGTCAGCATAAACTAAATATTATGGATAAACGAAATTTAATAAAGAGAAATACAAATACACATGGAAGGGCACCTATAGAAGTGGTATTTTTTGCTCAGCCTCATTTTACAATGACCCCATAAGCAATACATTCATCTGTCTAGAGCAGAGGCCTCCAATCTTTTGGATACCAGGGACCAGTTCCGTGGAGAGGTTGTTCAAAGGGCCAAAGGTTTCCTGTACTGCCTGTATCCCGCAGACGGGGCTTCACTTGTTTGCTCGGCCCAGTTTCTGGAATGCCACAGACCTATGCTGGTCCATGGACCAGGGGTTGGGGACCCCTGATCTAGAGTAATGTCTAGAAATGGATTGGGATGGTAATTCTTAGTCATAGTAATTTGCAAATAGGCCCAATTCCAGAAAGGTTCTCTGATGCATCTCCTGAAAACTTCAGGTTATTCAACCTGGAAGCTACAATAGTGAACCGAGGCAGAAGGAGGCAAGAGAGAGTAATATATAACTTATGACTCTGGTTAGATGAGAATAATCTCATTTGTCCCTGACATAAAAAACAAACACCTTTTTCCCTTCTTTTGATTTTGTTCATGACTTGGAGACCAATGAAATATTATTGCTAAAGTACCACAGTGAATATTTGATTATATTCGCTCAAGTGCTTGTTTTACATTTCAAAATTATTTTTAAATTATTAAAATAGCTTATCCCCCCTCCAACAAAAAGTTATATAAAGTTTAGCCCTACTAATTTGATAAGCCATATCTGCTTATGCTCTTGAACAGGGCAAGGAAGTCATAGCATGGATTCCAGACTAAATAATTCTGACTCTTTCTGTAGGTTATATACATTTCAGTAGTTTAGTAGTATAAACTCTGAAAATAGTTTCACACGAATTCTCAAACTTTATGGAAAATAATTTGGAGCGGGACAAGAGGTTGCTGTAGGTGTATTAATACAAGGTTCAATTTGTATTAAAACATATTAAAATGTGTTTTTCCCTATGTTCAAATCAACATCAAAGTAAATCAGAAAATTCAATAAGAATAGCAATTAGGCAAGAAGTTTCCTATAGACTCAGTCATTTATTTTCACATCATATTGTAAGATTTTAAAAGCAATACTTGGTTTGAAAATACTGACTGCTTCATATAAAAATATAAGCAAAGTTTCAAAAGTAACTTATATGTCGACTTTTGACAACAGATTTTAGAAAATTTCAAGTCAATTACTGGAAAGTACTTTAGGTCCTCAGCGAAAGAGCATAGCACAGAATGACATAATCATCTGAAAAAAGGTTCTTTTAAAATAATTTTGACACTGTAATTTACAAAGAAATATTTGTTCAAATTTGCTCATGATTAAACAATTTTTACAGACCACAGCTGAAAGACTTTTGAAAAATAATTCCGTATAAAAATTCAAAAGCATAGATTATACTGAATTGAAAATGAAAAATATTTTCAAACAAAATAAAATGTATCACTATGATTAATCTTCAGATTCAATAGGAAAATTACTTCTAGGTGATATAATAAATACTTGCTTAAATGAAGGATTTAAATCCTTTGAAACAAATCAGTGTGCAATAGTAAAATTGTCCTTAACTAATTGTTTAACAGGTGCTCTGTTTTAATAGGAAATTACAGAAAAAATAATGAAAGTTAAGTACATGCATACAAAACATCACTCCATTAAAATACACAGCACACACAGAAATGCACCATGTTTGCAAATTTGTACGAAAATTATTCTTGAAAATGAATCATATGCTGCCTTAGAACCATAAGCTAGAAATAGCAGAGCTGATATAAGAATAGATACTGAACATGATTTTTTTTAAAAAAAATTAATCAGTGCTTATGATTTGGAATTAGGCTCTGCTTTCAGTTTAGCTAATTTGACTCAAGAAACCAAATTCAGGTCTAATGATTTCTATATGTGGAGAATTCAATCTTAGAAGGCCATGACAACCCCCCAAAATTAACAGATGTGGAGGAACATTAGAAGCAAATGGGGCACTAAACATTTTCTTTTCTTATTACCTGTGGAGGCTGATACTAGATGGGTATTCAGGTAACATTAGGTAATTGAGAGCATTTTGTGCTAGAGGGATACATTCCGTTGCAGGGACTTACTAGAAGTGATGGGACCCTAACCCAAACAGAAACTGAGTCAAATACAAATCTCAATCAACATAGTTTTCAAAATGGTGGTTCATCATCATTCATCCTTCTAGCCTTTATCTATCCACTGCAGGACGAAGGCCTCTTCTGCAGGTTTCCAACCAATATGGACTTGAGCTTTCCTTTGCCAGTTGAGCCTGCAATACTTGCTGATGCCGTCACTCCATTTTGTTTTAGGTCTCTTTTGTGGAGGTTTTTTTCAAGTGGAGTCCATTCTTTGACCGCCTTGGTCCACCTGCCATCAGTTCTTCCTGCTAAATGACCAACCAATTTCATTTCAATTCTTTTACTCTTTTGATGGCATCGTATAGAATAGAATAGAATACTTTATTGGCCAAATGTGATTGGACACACAAGGAATTTGTCTTGGTGTAAATACTCTCAGTATACATAAAGAAAAGGTACATTCGTTAAGAATCAAGAATCACAACGTACAACAATTTCATTTTGTTCTCTAAATGGGGATTATTAACTCTTATTTTTTGCATCCATTTCAAGGAATAAACTCAAATCGTCAATGAGGAAAGCCAGTTTTGCTTAATGACAAACTATTCACTTAGCAACTGTGGCATTTAACCATGGCAAAAATGCCATAAAATGGGGCATGGCTGACTTAACAACTTGCTTTGCTTGGCAATGGAAATTTTGGGCTCAATTGTGGAGGATTACCCATACAACTATTTAGTAACTGATCCAGGAAGATGTTTCTTTAAATAAAAATTGCTTGAGATACACACATACACACATATAAAGTTACTGAAACATTGCTTTCATCCTGTGTAATGCATCTTGGATTTTTCGAGATTGCTTTTCAGGTTTCTGATGAAAATTGGCATAATTATCAGCTGCTAACACGAAGATGTCTGCATCGTTAAGAAAAGCTATTCGTTGTCTTAAGAAATCTTGTAATTGGCAATCTGGCAGGAACATGTAGGGGTTTTCTTGAAATGCTTGAACTTGGCTTACAACTCTCGCAATATTTCTTAAAAAGAGAAAAGATGAAAGAAACCAGTCAGGCTTTTTAATTTGATAAAAGTAGGACAATGAACACTGTGTTAGGCACTTAATATTCAATTTAAAAAAAAATTATTTAAAACATTCTACAATAAATAATCAAAATGTTCAATTTATCTTTAATTATTTCATCAATACACGGAATATGTTCTGCTAACGTTATTGTTAAGCTTTATTAACCTGCAAGACTACGTTCAATTTTAATAAATTCCATGTCATAAAAATATTACCTAAGTTTGGCCCACTTGTATGTGCCATTGCGCATCGTAAATCCTCCAGTTTCAAGTTGCTGTATGTGCATAGCTAATATGTGAGCCGATGGAATTGTTGGCGATGTTTTAAATCTCTCCCCTTCCATTAAGCTCAAGCTGTCACTCTTTAAAAATACCTGATATAATTAACACAGACATGCAGAGAGACATCTTAGAACAGGACATAACCATTGATGGCAAAGTCTTTGCTATGCGGTAACAAACATTTTTGGTATAATATTTAAATACAAAGGACTTGGATTTGGCAACTAAAAGGTGTACTTTAAAATAATGTAAAATACAGATCGTATAATATATAATGTAAGTAATGTATGATAACGACTTATATCTGGACATGGATTTTTATGCCAGATTTAAGTCCTGGAGAATATGAAGAGCAATTGCAAAATGTTATCAGTCTTGCAAAATATTATCCCTTTAAGGAAACACAAGTGATCAAGATCGCTGGAGGAGCAAATGCTGCCTATCTCATCATATACATATATATCTACACTACTCTTAACAATCATTTTCTTTTTGCTAAAAGCAGAAGACATTGAGAGATTTACTTTTAATAAAAACAAGGCATTGTACTTCTCAAAAATCAGTGTTTAAAATGTTCTCATCCCGCAATGCAGGAGCTAGAGCAAAAAAAAAAACAATTCAACATTCTTCAGCTTTTACAACCAAATCTGAAATATTACAACTGCGTCTAAAAAAACCTCAAGTGTCATGCCCCTGTCTGAGTCTGAATCCGAGGAGGAAGACGAACAGCTGACAGGAGTGGGAGTGTGGCTCTGTTGGCTGAGGAAACTCAGGAAGGGCAAAGTTCGGCAGGGCAGAGCAGGAGAGAGGTAGAACAAGGGAGAGGGAATTCAGAGGAAGACCCAGGCCCACCCCCTCTTCATCCTAGGGCATGCAGGGAGGAACAGAGAAGGGAGCAACGTGGATTGTGTGGCTTACGGGGGAGGAAAGGGCCCTGATTCCCTTCATTAGCCACACCTGGGAAGAAAGTTTAAGAGACATGCAGGCTGCATACGACAGTTGTGGGGAGCAACCGTGAGTTTATCTTGTATTGACTTTGCTTATCTGTGTTCCTGGCATCTTTCCAACCATGTTGAGTTTTGCTCCTGCCCTGCCAAACTAATTACCTCATTTTGCCTTGATTGGACGTATAGTTACAGTTTTTGTTGACCATGTTTGGACTTGATTCTCTGTAGCCAAAGGCTGTTCCTGCGAGAGTTTTTCTCCAGCCAGAAGGTAACCAGGACATTGGGAGCAAAGTTGGAGCTAATAAAGGGACTCTTATTGATTAACTGTGTTGCCTTTGTGCCACACCCCGGGTCATCACACCAAGGCAGAATGCGAGGGAAATAGAAATGAGAGAATGGATCGTTCAATTTGTGTTTATCCTTCTGTTTATGAGAACAGGTTTTTTTTTCTTAAACAAAAAAAAAAACACAAGTCCCCAAAAGCCTTCCAATTCTTCATTCACTCACGTCAGAAAGGCTACGATTATGACATGTACAAGAAAGATTTTGGAGATTAACTGGCCTGAGGGAGTGATAAACCATTAAGCGGAGCAGATGGGAACAAAGATTTCCAGCAAAGGCAAGCCAGGAATGTCAGCCCTTGATCAGAAAGATCTTGTTTAATTTTCTGCTCAGCCTTAACTGGTTTGACTTTGCTGGTCAGAAGGTCGCAAAAGGAAATCACATGACTCCTGGACACTGCGGCCGTCATAAATGTGAGTCAACTGTCAAGCAGCCAAATGTAAATCTCATGACCTTGGGGATGCTGCAACGGTCCAAAGTGTGAAACATTGTCATTTTTCCTCCCAGTGTTGTTGTAACTCTGAATGGCCATTAAATGAACTGTTATAAGTCAAAAACTACCTGTATTTATTCCATCTAGATATTCTGCATGGAAGGGGAATACAGGTAATCTTCGACTTATAACAATTTCTCAAAACAGAAATTTTGAGCTTAATGGTGGTTGTAAGTTGAGGACTACCTGTATAGCATGACAGGCATCTCATGCAGAAAAAAACACGAAGCAGCCCTGAAGCCGGATTTGCCAGTGGCAAAGCAAAAATTTCTGAGGAACAGTCCAGATTTCCATTCATGATAGAGAGAAAAGAGCTTATTGTTACTGTACCTCTACAGCCTTCAGTTCTTCCAGTATGTCAGAGACTTTAGAAGGCAAGCTTTTCCAAATCTGAGCAGAAATCAAAATAAATGTTAGTCTTCTGAATATTACAAGTAGAATGCATCCTTTGCATGCTCCAAATATTATAAAAAAAGTATACTGCCTGTATAAACGACTAATAACTAGGCATAGTACTCACAGGCAATTGTCTGACAATGAGATTTTCCAGGCCTCTCAGGATTTGCATGGCAGTAGCAAAATTTCTTTGCTTGTAGCAACACTTGGCAGTGAACAGAAATTTTGATACCAAATTCATCTGTACCTGGAGAACAAACAGAAAAAAAACATTTTTAAACAAAATTTATCAGTATTCTCTGCCAATGTGTTGGCATAACCCATGTTTCGAATGCCCAGCACTCAATGTCAAAAAACACATTTCCAGCAAGGACTATTTTTTGCTACATAGTCAGGGAAAACATCATCATTATATGAAGACTACTGGAAATAGCTAAATGCTTTCAATTCCAGCTAGCTAAATGTGATAAAATTCACTACCCATTGGCAACCAAAACAAAATGCTCACTAAAAAGAGAAGATTTGGTGTCAGATTAAATAAATTACTGTAAGTGTTTTGTTTGCTGAAACCATAAAGCACATCGTATATGTTTTTCCCATGAAACTCCTCTTCATTAGATTTATTATGCAACTACAAAAACTCTAGTTTCCAAGTAGTTTCTGGTTACCAAGTAATAATCAAGTGTATTTTTGAGAAGGGGAAAGAGAGAAAGGCTTTATTTTGGTTAAGGATCAGAGTATAGCAAGATAAAATACAATCAAATACAACAAAGCATCCAGGATGATTAAATCTATAAACTCTATAAAACCAAATAAATGATAAAATCTACTGATATATATGAAAACAGAAAACCAAGAACGAGCTTCCTGGTGCATTAAAAGTAACCTATCATTGTGCAATAAAATATATAGCAGGCAAATTATAATACCTAATGATACAATATTTAATAGGTATAAAATGTCAGAATTCATAGAATATATTATTTTTAATACAACTTCATAGAATTTCAAAAACTGATAAAATACAGGAAAATAGAAAAAAAAATAAGAAAAAACAAAAAAGAATTAAAAGTGTAGACAATTATGCAATTGTTCCCTTTTGGTATCTGCAAAGAATGTTGCTATATTCATTCAAAGAAATTACATCAGATAATAGTTAGATAAACTACATTGGGCTTCCTTGGACCATTTGTTGATCATGCCATTAAATGAAGAGCCAGTTTTGGGTAGTGGCTAGAAACCAGTCCACCTTAGGAACTGGGTGGCCTTGTGCCAGTCATTCTCTCTCAACCCTAGAAGGACATCAAGGAAAAACCACTTCTAAAAATGTTGCCAAAAAAACTGCACGGCCTTGTCCAGGAGTCAACACTAACTTGAAGACACACATCCACACAGATGTGTTAAACAGCACTTACAAATTTCCCCATGCTGGCTGGGGAATTCTGGGAGTTGAAGTCCACACACCTTAAAGTTGCCAAGTTCAACTAACACTGTTCTATAAGGAATCTTCTTATACTTCCCTTCCCAAAAAGCAGTTGGTAAAACATCAAATCGCAGCTCATTTACAATGCTATAGACAAAAAAACCAAATGAGCAAATATCAGCTTTAGAGCCTGAGTGACAAAATCAGATTTGCTTACTAAGGAAAATGACATCAAATAATGTCAAATAACGATTGCTTTGATTTTTTTTTTTCAATAGATGGAATAGGAAGACAAGACCTGACAGGACCCATCATATTCCTCCTTTGCTGTTCCTATTCAGTGATGATTAAAGAACCCATCCAAAGCCATATTGTCAAACAATCTGTGGTTAGTAAAGGGGAGCAACAAGAATTTGTGTCTACTTGAATGGGCTAGTAGTTAAACAGACCTTCAGCTATAGAAACAAAGTGCAAGCACCAAGTAGGTCTTTCATATGCTGGACTTCACCAACTAGCAGATGACTTGCAGGAGAAACTGAAAACAGCACAGTTGCAATGAACAGATCAACCACTTGCCTACTAGAAAAGGATAGAAAATCTTTGTCCTTGTACTTCTCATAGCATAAAAACAAGCTAAAATGTTTAGTGTCACCTCTATGGGCTGGAAGGGGTTTTAGGATGTTATCACAGAGGTAAAACTTTTTTTAAAAATGTAGTTCAGAGAAAGCAAAATAATTCTCTGACAGCAAAAGAGCTGTGGGGGCACGGTGGTTAGAATGCAGTATTGCAGGCTAACTCGGCTGACTGCCCAGAGTTTGATCTTGACCAGGTCAAGGTTGACTCAGCCTTCCATCCTTCTTCCGAAGTGGATTGTTGAGGGAAATATACTGACTCTGTAAACCACTTAGAAAGAGCTGTAAAGCACTATGAAGCAGTATATAAGTGGTGTTGCTATTATGATGCTCTATTCGGAGAAGAAATATGCATTAATCACATAAGTAAAATCACAATAACAAATCATGTGCCCAGGCACACATACACACCTATTCAGGAAACAGGAATTCATACCTTAGAGCTGCAGCTGGTGACAATCTCAGCAGCAACCCAGGTACTGACGTTATCTGCATATTTTAAAAGCTGCAGGAGGTAATCATCTTGGACACAGTTTTTTGCAAAAAGGTTATAGGTCGGAGTAGATAGCAGTTCAGAGGAAGATGCCCTGTAAAAAAAACCAAACCAATTTATAACACTTACAGCGTAAGTCTAACTATGTAAAAGCTAATATAACTCACTGCAGGGAAAGCAACAAATTGGATTTTATTTATTTCCAAACCCAAGGGATATAAGATCAAAGCTCAAAGACACGAGTAACCTAGATTTTCAGCAAAAAACATTATTTTCAGTGTGTATCATAAATGGCATGTACAAGGCTAAGCACCTAGTAAATGCCTTGGATAATTTATCAGTTCTGCAGTCTTTGATTTGCCTTCCTTAAGAGTCCAGATGGTGCCAGGAATAAAACTAGACTTCTAAAATTGTTCCTATCTCACCCAACTTACGTAGATCTGTACAAGTTTTTATCATGATCCGCAACCTTGCAATGAACTCACAGAAGCACTGAAATATCTTTCTGCAATATGTAACATATGGAACAGTGAGTTTGTTGAAGAGCCCCAAGGCAGCATGGCCCACAGTTTAGGAATAGCTGGATGAGAAAGTTTGGAACATCTGCCTTAGAGATAAACTTGTTCCGATGGTTCACATTAAATGAACTGCCTTCTATTCTGCCATTTTATATCCACCTAAGAAAGAAAAAGCATCAAAGGGTTCCTACCGAGCCAATAGAAGGAGCTACCTAAATAACAGCTTCCGCCTGTAATTAAAGCTAAGCAGCAGCTAAATAGTCTGGCATGTCAGTAGTTTTCCACTTTCATCAGCAGGGTTGGCTAAATAGCAAACTTACTTTGGGAGAGGCATGGTTTTATCGTTGACTCCAAGCAATCTTGAATTTAGAAAATGCACTGGATGACATTTATGGAATATTTCCTAAACAGATGAAAGAAAATGGTTGTGTGTCATATATTCTATTTTGCATGCCTCCATTATTGTGTTTTCTAATCCAAACTCACATAGTCTCTTAGGAAATGACCCAGAAAGACCAATTATACCAATAAAACAAGGAGGTATTTCTTTACATTCCATCCATGTCTCACTCATTAAGAGTCATTCTACAAGACAATCCCAGCAATTTTGGTACCAAAAAAACCCCTAATCCTGAGCCCAATTGAAATATATTCTTACCAATTTCATTCTATAATGTGAGTCACTGATAGAAGTCAGCATCTGGTCAATTTTCTTTCAGCTTTGAAACTACGCAGGTTCAGATCTAATGAATGCTTAGATGGGAGACCATCAGAAACTACCAGAGCTTCCAGTTAGATTGGAAAATAACAAACCAACAAACCCCAAAAAGGAATGGTAAACAATCTCTGTCTGATTGCCAAAGAAAACGTAGTGAATCTGTCCATGTAGCCAAATGTTGATTCTGCTTTCAATCGCTGTTTGTATCTTTCAAGTCCAATATGAGTTCCTTTCAGATATATCACTCATCTTTGAAGGGATCAGGCAACATTGCTTCTCATAAGGTATATTACAATACCTTTTGTAATACCATATGAGATCCAGATAGGACTGAAAAGTTGCTTGCTATACAGTAAGAGATTGTGGTCATTGAATGTATTTATGCATCAAGATTGGTAGGGGAAATTGCAGTGTGTAGCAATGCGGGTGGCCAGAGACATGAAAATGCATTATCTTATACTTTGAAATTCAGGAAATTTACTCTAGCAATATTACTATATATATATTTATTATAGAATATGCTACACCAAACAATTTTTTCCTAAGCAAGCAGAACTTTTTTTCCTAAAGTTCAACAAACCTGAACTTTATATGCCACCCAAAGTCACTTTCCGTGAGAGGGTGGGGATATAAATGTAATGAATAAATAAGTTGATTTGGGGAAGAAATTTGTGCTGAAGATAGCTAAGGCTATAATTTCATTTCATTAGTTTTTTTTTTTAAAAAGCAGAAATATATATATTTTCCTTGACCATCATCTAGTTATGCAATGACATCCCCACAATGGCTCTTATGCTGATGTCCACATGGAGAAATGTCCCCCACCACGCAAGATAATATTAAAATAGCACAAGGGGTTAGGGTAGTCCTAAGATGTGCACTGAGTCTTTGAACAGAAGTTTCTCAAATTAACAGATTTAACAGATAATCAGAGTTGGAAGGGACCTTGTAGGTCATCTAGTCCAACCCCCCACCCAAGCGGGAGACCCTACACCATTTCTGACAAATGGCAGTCCAATCTCTTCTTGAAAGTCTCAAGTGATGGCGCTCCCACAACTTCCGAGGGCAAGCTGTTCCATTGGTTGATTGTTCTCACTGTCAGAAAGTTTCTCCTTGTTTCCAGGTTAAATCTCTTCTTGTTCAGTTTCCATCCATTATTCCTTGTCTGGCCTACAGGCGCTTTAGAGCATAGCTTGACTCCTTCCTCCCTGTGGCAGCCCCTCAAATATTGGAAGACCTCTATCATGTCTCCCCTGGTCCTTCTCTTTATTAGACTAGCCAAGCCCAGTTCCTGCAATTTGATTTTGTCTGACTCCTGGCTGGCGGTCACTGTGATCTCATGCTCCACCATGGTACTTCACAGAAGAAAAAGAAACTTTTTAACGCTATGATAAATATTTAGAATTCATCCTAGTAATCAGGGCTGTGTTACTATAGAGGTTTTCTCTGCAATAACTAAGAAATGTCCCCCCTTTTTTACTATCATATACTAAGATTGTCTTCTGCTGTATTTTTATTCCAATTCTATAGTGTAAAGAGCCAGAAAAGGAAGAAGAGAAAGCAATGACAGAGCTAAGTTTTGTAGACATTGTCTGATGGGACAAATCCACACCGTACCTCTCACAACAAATTTTATTCAGAACAGATCAATATCTAGATCTGAGGACACATTGGCAATATAAAGGCAGGCAGACTTCAACTCCCAGAATTCCCCCGCCAGCCATGTTGGCTGGGGAATTCGGGGAGTTGAACTCTACCTGTGTTAAAGTTGCCAAGATTGAGAGACGCAATTCTAGATCTTTGAGTTTCACATTGCTTGCTGTGATGGAGAGATTTTTACATCTCTTTCCTGATACAAAACTCCTCATTGAGAGGCAAAGCACAACAGCATGGGTAAGCAGAATAGTGTCCACTGGCATCAACATGATCTGAAACATCTATCTTGGTGTTTACCAGATTCTGTGATGACCCAGAGTGTCCCACAAATGTAACAAAAACCAAAACGTAAATAAATGTTCTTTAATGCCTTCAGCTTGGCTTCACTGTTCAATTGTTCACAGTTGGAGATTAAACTCTTTCCAAAATAACATTCCAAACGAAAGAAATACGGTCCAACTCAAAGAACAGATAACAAAGCAATAAAAAACCCAAAAACAAACTGCACTGAAGAAAGTTCCATGACAGACCAGGATAATTATTTATAAACTTCAAGAAGATAACCAGGTATAGTCCGTTGGAAGAACACCAACCAAGATAAACCTCATCCAGGAATAAAACACTCTTTATTTCCAGAGTTTGCTAGCACGCAGGTCCAAACTCTTATGCAGTTCTCACACCTGCATCCCATGAAGAGGATCAAGGCCCTCTCCTCCCAAGTAGACCATGTCTTTCCCTTATCCTCTCCTCCCTGCGTGCCCTAGGATGGATAGGGGATGGGCCTGTGTCCTCCTCTGCCTGCTCAGCTGGCCTCTGCCCTTCCCCAGCCTCCTCCACCACCTCTGGAGCCACCCTTCCACTCCCTGTTGGCTGTTCCTCCTCTCCCTCAGAGTCAGTCTCCACCAGGGGCATGACAGGTTCCCTGCTGTGATTTAAAAAGAATAGTTCAAAAAAGTGAATTAAATAGGAAGTTGACATTTTGCAAAGAGAAAGTATCAGCATTTAGCATCTTTTTAGAGCAATTTCTCTGGGTCCCACAAAGGGATACTTTAGCTAAATACTTCTTCATACCAACATTATTTTGGGGTCACTTTTAAATTTTACCCAAGATACTTTACACTTTTTACTAACTGAAAGCTAGAAATTCAAAGTATATACTTCTAAACAACTTCTTTCAATTGGAATGAAAACTGGTATGACTTGTTAACAATGCTCTCGCTTGCCTACAAATTTCATTCCATTCTGGAGAAAAAATAATAATAGAATTTAGAATAATTTATATTAGATGAAACAGTTTTTCTGTTGGGGTTCAATGAGTCAGCTCAGACAACCTCTGAGGCAAACCAGCACAGATTAAGCTATTGACACAGCTCCACTTTAGTATTTCAAAATGGATTCAGTGCTTTCTCCTCATTCTGAATATATTGTTATATACAACTGGAGTGTTACAGCATAGCAATATTTAAAGAATAAAGTGCTAAAACTATGGTGACAGAAAATCCATTTTACCTGTTCTAATAATGTCAGCTGAGAACAAAGTTGTTGCGCAGTGTATTCATTTAAGAAATATGGAGCCTCAGCTATTTTGATGCAGAAGCCAGATGATTCTTCTGTTGTGGATCTATGACACAAGTGGGGTTCAGTGCCTTTTGAAAATCTCCAGCTAAGATGCTATTTGAGAAGGACAAGAGCCATTAGCTACATCTCTCACAAGCAAAATTGAAACCAGTCTCATTTAAGATATATAATTTAAATATATATTATTATATAAGATATATAAGATAAAATTTACAGGTAAGATTATAAGATTTTTCTCACATAATAATTCCTCATAATTTTCTTAACTTCAATACTAATTTATCCCAACAGCAGATTCTACAAATATGACCAAACAGGAACCCTTCTATAAATGTATTCTTTCTACATTTATTTTATTTATTTATTTCTATCCCACCTTTATTATTTTTACAAATAATTTCTTCCTCCTGTTTTCCCCACAATAACAACCCTGTGTGGTGGGTTAGGCTGAGAGAAAGTGACTGGCCCAAAGTCACCCAGCCGGCATTCATGGCGACAACAGGACTTGAACTCACTGTCTCCTGCTTTCTAGCCTGGTCCCTTAACCACTAGATTTATGAAAATAAATCATACATCTCAGATATTTCATGCAATTAACCGCTGTTTGGTTTTGTCTAAGAAGGGAGATTAGAAGATGTAACCCGTAGAGGGCTGGCTTTCATAGCATCTGATAAAAGTTCTATTCATACTCAAAATCAAGATTCACACTTTAGACATAAACCTTCTATGATAACTTAGCTTCAAACAACAGTCCTAAATAAGGTAACAAAGCATAGTGAGAAAGAATACATTTGAATGTTATCATATAATAATATAAAGAAAATTAGGGAAACTACCTTTTGTAAAACATTTCCCGAGTCCCTTTTGCATGAAAAACGTAATGATTGAGTTTCATGGATCTGCATCCCTTCTTCCATCTTGCAAAACTGAGAAGCTTTTCTCTCTTTTTTGCTAGCAATGTTATTAAGCAATGACAGCAACTGTCTGCCACAACCATTGAGTGGAACCATCTGCAAAAAGTCAGTGATTATATTCTTCCGCTTCAAACTGTGTCTTCATTTATCTGAAATAAATTTTATTTCCATTCCCCCACATTCTCAACCAATTATATTTAGAATAATCTACTTGAATATTATATGCTGTAACTTAGAGGTGATATAGAAGACATTTATTTACATCAAGCTTTCTATCAAAGCAGTGAATTACCTGGAAAATGATAAAGTCTTTTAGTATTCGCATGAAATTAGGGTTTATGCTAAAGTCTACGGTGTAACAATCTTCAATCCAAGCTTGAATAATGGAAAAACTACGGTGGTACATTTTGCTGAACAATGAACAAGATTCTGGGCTGGAACTAAGAAAATTAAAAAAAAAAAATTTGAACAGGTATTTTTCATCTGGCATAAGCATTCAAAAAGATTATCTGTTTTAGCTTATTACATCACATATAATAAAAATATAATTTTTAAATTCAAGAACAAAAACTGTTGAAATCAAATTATTTCAACCATTAAAGAGAGCTAGATTCTACTAGTTTGTGTTAGTGGTTGTGATATAAAAGAACAGAATGACAGAATTAGAAGGGACCTTGGAGGTCTTCTAGTCCAACCCCCTGCTCAGCCCTATACCTTTTCAGACAAATGATTGTCCAATCTCTTCTTAAAAACTTCCAGTGTTGGAGCATTTACAACTTCTGGAGGCAAGCTGTTCCACTGATTAATTGTTCTGTCAGGAAATTTCTCTTTAGTTCTGAGTTGCTTCTCTCCTTGATTAGTTTCCACCCATTGCTCCTTGGTCTGCCCTCAGGTGCTTTGGAGAATAGCTTGACTCCCTCTTCTTTTTGGCAGCCCCTGAGATATTGGAACACTGCTATCATGTCACCCCTAGTCCTTCTTTTCATTAAACATACCCAATTCCAGCAATTGTTTTTTTTTATGTTTTAGCCTCCAGTCCCCTAATCATCTTTGTTGCTCTTCCCTGCACTCTTTCTAGAGTCTCAACATCTTTTTCACATTGTGACACAACCAAAACTGGATGCAGTATTCTAAGTGTGGTCTTACCAAGGCATTATGAAGTGGTATTAACACTTCATGTGATCTTGAATTTATCACTCTACTGATGCAGCCTAGGACTGTGTTGGGTTTTTTGACAGTTATGGCACACTGCTGGCTCATATTTGAATGATTGTCTACTTACTAGCACTTCAAGATCCCTCTCGCAGTTACTACTGTTGAGCCAGGTACCTGTGCATTTTGTTTTTCTTGTCTAAATGTAGAACCTTACTTTTTTCACCATTGAACTCCTTTTTGCTAGATATGGCCCAATGTTCAAGTCTATCAAGATCTTTCTGTATCTTAAGCCTATCTTCTGAAGTATTGGCTATTCCTGCCAGCTTGGTGTCATCTGTAAATTTGATTTCTCCATCTATCTCTCATCTAAATCATTGATGATATCACTGGAGGAGTTGCTTTTGCCAGTGAGAGTTTTCACTGGGTTGTCATTTTCACTGCTTTTATTACTTGAAATAGGGAAAGTGATTCTATTTTGCTTGTTTCATTCTGGCTCCATGTGTAGGAGATGACCAGGCGGAGCCCAAGGGAGGGGTCAAACACATCATCAGTTACGAATCCCTGCGCACCCACAGGAGATCTGAGTTCAGCACAATTTGAATTCCTTGAATTCCTGCTAATTTTCCTTGACCATTAGTTCAGATTTTTGTAGAGAGTTTAAGCTTACAATAAATCTTCATACTCATTTGAATTGCCTGAATCTCCTGATTTCCCCGGCACTTGATACCATGGCCACATATAGGCTATTTCTAGTGATGCTGGCCATCAAGTGGACTAGGGGCCAGGACCGCCGTTCCTTAGCAGTGTTAATCAAGGACAGAACTTATTCCTTACCGATCACTTCCTACTTCCCTCTGTTAATTTCTTCTTGTGACCTCTCAACTGGGTTTATGCTCATTTGAAGAGTGCTGAACTTATGTTTAAAACAGGTAGGGCACTATTCCAGAAGATTGTTAAACCCACATAATAACTCAATTAATAGGACACAGGTAGCTAAACCCATCAATAGTCACTCAATCCTACCCATGTTAGACAGACATTTGGTGTAAGAGGAAATAAAGGTAAGAAAATCTGCCAATCGACCTTCCTTACTTTGTTCTTTATAGAAATTCTAAGGACAGCCCATTGCTAATTGTTATTATGACAAAAAAAAGAGTTTGGTAATCCAGATAGAAAGTCTAAAGGTAGCGAAAACTTCAACTAGCACAAGAACTAATTTATTTGGTTATGCCCTTTGCAAATTAAGCAATACTTCATAATTATGAAAAATCACATAATGAAGGCTACTCAAATACTAATGAACTCAAAATATACCTGATTTCAGTGGGATTTCATTTCCTACCTGGGCAAGGTAATTCTGATTCTATCTAGAAGAAATTGTAAAAGTTCCTCTTGTGAGCAGAAATAGCGAAAAGTGAAAAGAAACTGTTGAACATAGCCTTTTAAAAACGCATTTCTGAAAAATACAAAGGAAAACAATAATGCAAGTTAAAATATGCTTTACTGCACTCAAGAATAACAAAAAAAAAAAAATAGGAAGCAAAAGGAAATGCTTTTAAGGGGCAATCTACAAATGTTAAAAATCAATTCTGTTTCTAAAAACTGCAGAATTAAGCATTCACCTAAGAAACGGACAAAGCTACTACAGTTTCTGTTGGTCTGGATGATTAAAAACCTAGTAAGAAAGAGCTTACTACATTTTAAAGTTAAGAAGTAACAATTTCTCTTGCTTTCCTTAGCTGCTACATGACAGGGCCTGTTTTGCTAGATTGTAGACTAGGGGTGTCAAAATGGTGGCCTGCAGGCCAGATGTGTCATGCGCAGGCCACGCCCACCCCACCTCCACAAAGGCAAAAAACCATCATGATACATCACATTACGCAATCGAATTTGCCACCCATACTCTAGACCAAAGAACATGTGAAAAACAAATCAGCAGGCTTCTTCTCCCCTGCCTCCCATGCTAGACTTTTTAAAGGTTTGCAAAAAATGATGAGAATTCTAGCCTAGCAATCATTCTTTTCTTCTCTCGTTTTTGCAAACAATCCAGTGGGATGGTTACTGAAATATGTTCAACACTCATTCCTCTTTTCTAGTCTAAATTCTTGCACAATTTAACTATTTACAGGTAGTCTTTGACTTATAACCACAATTGGGACCAAAATTTCAGTTGCTAAGTGAGGCAATTGTTAAATGAGTCATGCCCAATGTTACCTTTTTCCCCCCATGGCTGTTAACCAAATCACTGCAGTTGTTAAGTGATCACGCAGTCATTAAACCAATCCAGCTTCCCCTCATTAATTTTGCTTTGATCACATGACAATGGGGGGATGATGAAATGGTTGTAAGTGCAAGGACTTGTTGTAAGTTATTTTTTTCAGTACCGTTGTAACTTTGGCCTGATGCTAAATGAGTAGTTGTAAGTCAAGGACTACCCATATGCTGAGGAATACAGTAATGCTTTTATTTACATAGCAATTAATCTGGGATAAGACAATATAAAGATCTTGAAAAAAAATTATCCCAACTCCAGAATGAATGAAAATCATTTCCCTCCATTACTGAAAAATGAAGAAAAAAAGGTCTCATAACCTAAACTACTTTCATTGTTCATAAATTTTCTCCATTTACCATCCCAACAAGGAAGGAACCATGGTGGCGCAGTGGTTAGAATGCAGTATTGCAGGCTGCCTCTGCTGACTGTCAGGAGTTTGATCCTTACTAGCTCACGGTTGACTCAGCCTTCCATCTTCCAAGGTGAGCAAAATGAGGACCCAGATTGTTGGGGGCAATATGCTGACTCTGTAAACCACTTAGAGAGGGCTGTGAAGCACTGTGATATAAGTAAGTGCTATTGCTATATTTCCATAGATAGGAAAACTGGAAAAGTCCTATAATGAAGCAACACTAAGCTAGAGGACCAATATCACATTTTCTGATTTTTCTGGGGAAAACATGAAATGGCCTTAAGATTAGAATTGATCTCAGTTTTATTGTGCTATCATCTCTGGTGGAATTGTATAAGAGGCTGTACCTGGAATACAGACATGCCATTAATCCAAGTGGAGTTCCAGCTTGAAGATTTCTTAGGCAATTTTGATTGTCACTATACTGAGCTTCACTTGGAGTTTTGTTTATGTGATAAAAGAGGAGCATGCCATCTAAGGCACTGATGTCCAGCGTTTCATTTCTTCCCATATTAACCACTGTAAGGAAGTTGCATGGTTCGACACCCCATTTTTCTGCACACATAATCTGCAGCAAAAGAAAACAAGAAAGAAACAAACAGAAAAGATACAGAGGAAAAAAATTCTTCCAAAAGACGCGGGGTAGGTGTTGGAATACAGCGTTGATGTATTTTATGCAACAACTACAACAGTATATTCTTCAATCGGTAGATGGCAGTGTTTATATGTCTGTAGTTGCATCTATAGTATACTCTATGTCTTTTCTTTGCATAAGGGTTTTCCTGTTTCCTTCTGCCCTTAAGCAGAAAAGCACATATGGAGTGTGTACTGTTTGTTGTGAGGGGGCAAAAAAGAGAATGATTGGCACAAAGTTACTCAACTGGCTTTGTGGCTCTAAAACTCACAGGTTTCCCAGTTTCTGGACCGATGCCTTAACCACTACACTGAACTGTCTCTCAGGTAAGATTTTATGCACACAAGTTGTATGCTTAGGGCTATGCTGCACCTGCAGAGTTTCAACGAAGGTCTGGAGCAGTCCTTATTAAGGTAGGAAATCACGGCAGAAACATTTTTGATTTCTTAATGTTGCTAAAGTTGCACTCTCACCATCCATAACTATTGATTGATTAGGAAGATAAGAATCTGCACCTCCTCATAACCAAAGATTCTCTACTGCTGTGACAGATAAACCCAGGAAGGCCATCAATGCTTCAAAGATGCTTTGTGAAGCTATGCATCTCCCATTCTAAAAAGTGAAGTGGAGCTCCTATGTTGCTTTGTTTTGCATTGTTCCTTCGACCTTTGTTAAGGTATCCAATAACTGTTTTGTGAAGTAACAGAGATCCCAGCAGTAATATAAATGAACTTGGCAAGGCTGATTTTATGTCCTCCCCAGTATATGCATGGGCACATCACCCTGAACTATATTTTAGCACTCTGCTCCTGACAATAGCCATCCAAAGTCAATTTTTGTGTGTCCAAAAACCAGAAATCAAAGTGGGGTCCAAAAGATAAATGTTTTTAAAATGAATACGGATATCCAGCAGAAAACAAATTAGTCATTCATTAGCTTAATCAGATTGTTAAAGGTGTTTTATTTATTTTGCCCTGTACTCCAAATTTGAAAAAAAAAAAAATACTGAATGAATACTGTGGCACACAAAACAATGGATGGCACCAGGAAATACAAACAGTGTTCCACAGATGTCACAAAAACAAAACCTGTACTTCATAATGACTTTCATTTTAGCCTCAGTGGCGCAGTGGTTAGAGTACTGTACTGCAGGCCGCTTCTGCTACCGGCTGTCTATAATTTGGCAGTTCAAATCCCACCAGGCTCAAGGTTGACTCAACCTTCCATCCTTCCAAGGTGGAAAAAATGAGGACATAAATTGGGGGTAATATGCTGATTCTGTAAAACCGCTTAGAGGGCTGTAAAGCACTGTAAAGCAGTACGTAAGTCTAAGTGCTATTGCTATTAGTATTTGGTCTGTTTGAATGTCTCTCTTCTAAAGAGAGAGAAATAGTGTAGATCAGGGGTGTCAAACTTACGGTGTCACATTGTCGTCATGTGATGTAGTGTGACTTTTCCCCTTCGCTAAACTGGGAGTGGGCGTGGCCAGCGTGTGGCGCATTCGGCCCGTGGGCTGCAAGTTTGACACCCCTGGTGTAGATAATGAAGACTCCAACTTTGCAGCTTTAGCTAATTAGAGCAATTATTTTGGACAACTGTAGTTGTCACCTTACTAGTGTATCAGTGCATGGGTTCTTGGGCATTCCCTGATACAGAAATAGATATCCACACCCAATTTTTGAAAACTCACATAGTTACCTGGAGATACTTCTTCACAAGCTCAAGAAACTGTATCTTTGATTTCATTTCTTCTATCTGCCTCTCCAGCTTTGGCAACAAAGCTTTTATTTCTCCACCTCAAGATTTGAAAAGTGCAATCAGGACCAGGTTGCATCAGCACAGATGAACAATTGCTACAAGACAGTTGTCAAAATTTCATTTCCCACATATACCTTTGCTGCTTCTCTCTTTACACAACAGCCTCTGGTAGAAGGTTATGCTCTTTCTGTAATTTTTCTTCTCAATCATTATCAGCTGGTCAAGTTCCTGGTGGAAGAAGCAGAACAAAATGGAAGTGATGCCATTTCCCTGCGGACTTCTGATAAGGGAAGCTGAGTAGCATAAAAACCAATCTAGGAGCACGTTCATCAGGACATGTAATAGTGCTTCTTGCTGGCACAGCAAGCAAACTCTGCCCACAACCTAGAGTTCGATCCTGACAGGGCTCAAAGTTGACTGAGCCTTCCATCCTTCCGAGGTCGGTAAAATGAGAAGCCAGATTGTTGGGGGCAATATGCTGACCCTGTAAACCACTTAGAAAGGGCTGTAAAGCACTATGAAGCGGTATATAAGTCTAAGTGCTATTTCTATTGCTGTGCTTCATATTTGATCTTCCCAGTTCCTAGCCAATCTCTAAACTAAACTTGGACATCATTTATGATTTGTTCCAAGTGAAGATATGATACTCTATATTCTGTTTCAGCAACCTAAGGCGTCCAACCTATTGGTTTGCCTGGGCTGCTCCGAGTGAAGAGGAATTGTCTTGGGTCACATAAAAATATGTAATATAATTAATATATATAAAGCACGTACTAATGTTAAAAGGTTATGATCTTATGGTGTCATATTGCTAGCTGTCCAGGACTGTGTGTGGCCTGTGAGCTGTGGATTGGACATGCCTGTTTTAGATCATATCCAGCGCAAGGGAAGATAGAAGGTATAACAAGCCATAATGTAAACAGTTTCATATAATCTCTCCAACATCTGACCTTTCTGTCCAAAGTAACATATAGTTAAACCGGTAAGTCCGATTTATTTTAGCCCATATCTTCATTTTATGTTAAATATTTAACAAATACATGAGTAAATGAAATGTTAATATGTTAATATTTGTTCACCAAGATTATTTAACATTTCAGTTACTCATCCACCTTCAGAATACTGAGAAACTCAAATCTTTTGACTGCCATGACAGAAAAACTAGCAAATAAATAAATCAGGTGCTAGTCACATGGCTCAACAGCTGTTTGTGTTATTAAAATCATTTATATCTCAGTTTTCTAGCATTTATACAAATTGATTGTTCACATAAAAACACATTTTGCTTCTTGTTTTCCCGAGTCCCTTTTGCCTAAAATGCAATGTTAGTTATTATCCTTTTTCTCCTCTTTGAAAACTAAAAGCTTAATAAAAATTCAGAGAGTTCCTTAAGAATGAATTTATATTCTATATAAATATTAACTAGCTCTACTGAAGTTCCTAAAATCATTCTTGCCTAGGGCTTTGTAAATATTTGATTGGGAGAGCCAATTCAATCAGTTCAAGTGAACCTCCAAATAAAATGTTTTCTAAATTGAAAATAAATTCAGAATGCCTCTCAGTGGATTAGAAATGTTTGGATACTCCTGTGCATGAACAGAAAATGTTTTATCCTTTACAGAAATATGAATAAAATCTACCTGATTTGACAATTTAATTGGAATTTCTGAACTAAATCAGTTCAAAATTCCAAATCAATTCCAGATGACAAATCAATCTGATGATTTGAATCTGATTTTACTTGATTTACACAGCCCTAATAAAAATGCATTTACCCCACTGCAAGAAAGATTTGAATGTGAAAACAACATGAATATACATAAGGAAATACTTCCATTCCCTTTTAAATATTTATCTGAGATGGCAAAATGCATAGTTTCTTTTGGGATCACTAATTTATTGCAATAGACAATTATAGTTTCCCTTTCAGTAATTTTGAAATTATTGGGAGGAGGAGAAGGAAGCTTAACTGCATATTGAAAAATATTTAGTAAAAGTAATAATAGGAATCCAATGATCCAAAGCCAAACAGTTTCTTTTTCTGTTAGGAAAAAACCTTAAGTACAGTTCAACACATATTTTTAATCTGTTGAAATAAAGGCCATCTCTTGCCTACCTAACAAACTTCTTCCTAAAGGTAGAGATTTTTGAGGGTTACAATGGCAATTTCTCTGATAAGAACACCAGATGGTAAATGAATTGGTTTTATCCGTATACTACTAGGCTGTCTTTCCCATGACCTTTAACTGGGCAAAACAGTGCATTCAATTTCTGAATTGAGGTACCTCAAATGGGCAAACTTACAGAATGCATCGAAAATCCATAACCATGACTCCCTCTAATATATTGCTCTATATTACATTCTACCCTAAGCGAACACATATTTTTTCAGTTTTGAAAAAGCAGGATGACTTACCATTTTTTTAGCATCAATATTTTGAGTTCCGTGGGCTTTTTGTTTTCCAAGTTTTCTAAAATAATTGTGTACATCTAGACTGAACCATTCTGAACCATAGAATGCACTGCTCCAACCAGGACAAAATTCGGGCAATTCAGAAGAAGACAAATAGCTGGAGCACATATTTTCTTCAATCCTTTCTTGAATTTCTTCTTGCTTTTGTTCGGTTTCTGTAACACTTGGCCCACTGCAACATTTTTCAGTCTGCAAACATTCTCCCTCCATCTGTATTCCAACTAGGAGAGTTTGTGATTCAACTTCCTTTTCATTGGAATCCATACCAGCGACATCATCTACATTTGTATGGAAAATTAAAAAGCAACGAAAGTAAATTGTAATGCCTTACATTAGTTGTATTACTCTTGTGGTTGTTTGTTTTCAAGCCAATTGTGCTAAGAAGATTTATGAATAATATTTGCTATGTTTAACAGCATTAGCAAATGAACATTTTGTGTAGGCCAATTCCATATTTAATTTCCGCTTTCTTCCTATGACCCCAAATATGAGTATTATAGCTTTTCTTCTATCTGCTTGTGTTGTATGAAGATAGACTCCACTTGGTCAAAACTTGGTCTTCTTCCTTCCTGTGTACCCATTTATTCTTCATTCATGAACTTTGTTTGTAATTTAATCTTCAACACACTGTTTTTGTACAGACTTTCATTTTTATATTTAAGCTGCATTCATTCTTGATCCCATCTTTGTTTTAGCACTCATACTTAAATACCAAGGTCCAGCAATATCCTTATTTTAAACAAAGGCTCCAGATAGTTCTCAGGGATATTTAAAAATAAACATACTGACAAATGCTCCTAAGATTTTACTGGAAATATGTCTATTTGTCCAGAAAAATAGTATAAACAGAAGATCAAGAATATTAAAGAAACACCTTGATAGGCTTGTGAGAACAACGTTATTGGTTTACCCTGACTGCCTTCTCTGCCATTAAGAAAATTGGGGACGGTGTATTCCTCAGCCTTCAAGTCACATAGTAAGTGGTTTTCCCCATATTCCAGATACTCAAACTTTTGGCAACAGGGGTATCTTCAAAAAAACCTCCGACTGACTAGCTGAGCAGATCCATAGTAGAACATTATTCTGATCAATAGCAATAGCACTTAGACTTATATACTGGTTCATAGTGCTTTACAGCCCTAAGTGGTTTAAAGAGTCAGCATATTGCCCCCAACAATCTGGCTCCTCATTTTACCCACCTCGGAAGGATGGAAGGCTGAGTCAACCTTGAGCCTGGTGGGATTTGAATTGCCAAATTGTAGGCAGCTGGCTGCAGAAGTAGCTTGCAGTACTGCACTCTAACCACTGCACCACAGAAGCTCTTCCTGTATATAATATATATACAGTATACAATATTACAGTATAACTAATACTCTACCGTTTTAGGTCAAATCACATCTATTTCAGGATTACTATATATAGACTCCTTCATCTCGTGAGGAGAAGCATAAGAACAGGACTGTCAGACTCCCAACCCGTGGGACGAATGTGTCATGCGCTGGCCATGCCCACGCCCAGTTTAGCGAAGGGGGGGAAAGTCCCAATACGTCACGTGACGCTGCCGTGACGATATGAGTTTGCCACCCCTGCATTAGAAGCATCATGAGTTTAAATGACCTGAGATATATGGCACTTCGGCTAAAGGAAATTTAAATATTAAATCTGATTGCTGAATACAATCCGGTAATAACATTAGGACAACCTTCTCCAGGAGGCTCCCTTGTGATCCAGTTTTCCAAGGATATAAACCTTTATTTGAAAATCCCCGTTGCTCTTCTTCTCCTTATATCTAGTAGGACATAAAGGTTATTCCTTCACAGCTTAACGGCTGCAGGTTTATGGACACTGAATGTAAGGCGTGCCTACTAACGGTTTCATACCTTTCGCTTCCTCACTGCCACTCAGAGAAGTACGTGGTTTGCTTTGGAAAGTCTTGCTCAAATATTGTGGTTCGTTAATTCTGAAAATGAGGGAAGAGTGCAAGAGATGAACATCTGAACACATATTCATAAATGAAATGCTTTGGGAGGTGGAAAACTTCAAAGATGAGCTAAAGTATTTGCATCTTCCACCAGGTGTACTGTATGAGTGTATTTCAGTCAAAAATGATAAAGCTTCAAAGCTTTTAGACATTCAAAATACATGGGACTTTCTCCAGTGGAACAACTCTCATGTGGTGGCTAGCCAAGGCTCAGATAAAACATTAAACAGGTAGAATCTCATCAAGCTGTGAATGATAAAACTTTAAATGCATGTGGCCAATTTTGCCACCTGTTCTCTCTAGGCACCTTTACTAGAAGGCTATTGAGGGGGGTGGGGGGAACCCAGCCTATCTTTATGCTGATCCAGCCTTTCAAATATTTATCTGTTCCCTGATCTAGCTACTTTCTTCACTAAGTTTGGGAAGGAAGCAGCAATCCAAAGTAAAATGAGTTTGCCTTTTGTGCTACACTTGCTACTCCCAAATGATTGCGCCCAAGAAATTCCCAGTCATTCAGCTTTCATGTTTTCCCCTTACTTTCTTGTCAGAGCAGAATTGCAGCACAAAATATCCTAAATGAAAATAGAATTCAGAAAGCATTCAGAAAGTCATTTTGGACATTAATACATATAGTGGAAAGAGGTAGGAGGAAGTATGTAAGTTGTGTAATGTGTGCATCAAACACTGCACTATTTTTAGCAAACATATCAGCAAAGTCGTGTTCCATGATAGGTATATAGCTGAGACATATACCAGAAATTACCTTTCACTGCCCAACCCTTCCATTTATTTACAGATGGTCCTCAAATTACAACCGTAATGAAGCTGGCCCATTACGGTTGTAAGTCATAATGGTTATAAAACCTATGTAATGATTTTGTTTGCAGTGGTCATTAAGCAAACATCACCATAGTTAAGCAAATCAATGATCTGGTATGGGCATGGTTTCAACGAAAAGCACAAGTGTTGGTTTTCAACAAAGCCGTCATAAAATGTGGTCATGTGACCTGAAAACAGTTGTTAATGTGGCCATGTTGCTAAGTGCCCATTGTGATCATGTGACTGTGACTGTGTGTGTTTGCGTGTGTGTGTGAGGGAGACCGTTGGAATTTAGGATCTGTGTTATAAGTCCTCTTTTCCAGGTAAGTTGAAATTTCAAACAGTTGCTAAGTGACTACTCATACATCTATACATGTTTTTTTCTGTCTTAATCTTCCTGCTTTATTCTTCCTTCATTGTTTGAAAATGTTCGTTTTAAAACAAAACTCATTGTTTTGCATTCGGCTTTTAGAAACTTTATCTTGGGGGGTTTAAGTAATTTTGTTAAAAAATATGCAGGTATTATTCAGGTACATTCCTGAGGTGAGGAATCTCAATGACAAAGTAAAGTAAAATATGGGGAAAACACCTAATTGTCCTTACAATGCAGAGAAAATGGGGAAACAGAGGAATATTAGTGGTATTCCAAAGTTTGCTCAATCTTCATGGAGGAGAAAATGAGGCCATTTGACCTAAGAACAACCATATCACATACGTTGATTCTCAAAACCAACAATTCTCTGGCATAGAAATCAATGTGAAAAAGTATCCAGCTGATTGACTGAAAGCCACTCCTCTACTATTCTATCCTGACATTTTGATAAGCAGTGATATGTGATACAAACGTTTAACTTTTCCCATCTTTTATGTCTCTGAAATTGCCCTGTATGTAGATAATATTTGGCATATATGCTAATGAATCATTTGGAGACTTAATCAGAGAACAGACATGCAAGGGTGTTTTTTGTCACCTTCTACCAAATTAGTCATGAGAAACACTGCCAAAAAAAAAACAGGTGTGTGTGATATAAGCTGTTATTTAAAAAACCCCAACCATATGGTTTGAGTCTGTCTTGCACTTAATGCTTAAATTAAAAAGCCAGACAACTTTATTAGGTACTCCATGAAGTTTTGGAGTTAATATATTTGTATCTAGTCTCTAGAGAACATACTGCATAGCTGGAACAAAAGAGATTCCAGCTTGATTGCAAAGCAGTTTGTGCTCACAACTGAGCGTTTTATAGTCTCTCACGAGTCTCTTTATGTTTACGTTCATGTATTCATGTTTATGCCTATACAGATGTGCCTATCAATTTAGTCTCCTACCCGATTCTTAGATGCCACAGTGACTTTCTCAAGTATTTGCTTCTCTTTTTTAATCACAAAGATTAAACATTGGGATAGTATCCAGGAAGTGTGGTGCAGACATGGTTGTGAAAAATGAAAGAACTCAGAACAATGGAACACGTCAGATTTCAACCAGACATTTGTCCCCTGTCCATACAGAACTGCCAGTGAAAATACTGGTAGTAGCCAATATATATTCAAAAGTCAGTTTGGATAGATGAGTGCTAGGAATGGTGGAGGAGTTAAAACGGCAAACAGAACAGTAAGAAAAGCAAAAGTAAAACTGGTGTTAAAAGGTAAAACGCAAGAATCACTTGCCTTTCAGGTATAGGAGTTCCACCATTTGCTGCACCATAAAGATTTGCTAATAATTTTTCTTCCCAGTGAAGCTCACAAAATTTCTCAGAAACTGCATTACAGAATGTATTGTATTGGAGATCCTTTAAAGTGTAAATATATTTACCTGATTTAAAAAAAAAAAGTGAGTTGTGTTTTTAAAATATGGTTAGCTTATTAGGGTTTATTCCATCACCCCCACCCCCATTTTTTTCCAATGTTGGTTGAAAATAAGAAAGTCATATTCCTAGGAAGACAATACAAGCAAAAGTAAGTCAAACAAAAACTGCAGAGGCCGAGATTTGTATCCTATATATGCGGCTTGCAAACTTTAAAATATATAGCAAAGCTTTTTGAGATATGCACCTGATAACTGCAAAAACAACCTGTCTAAATTACAACTATTTTTATTGAAATGTCTTTTTTTTTTTTTTTTTAGTATTTGCAATCTGGTACGAAAAATATGAAAGCCTACCTATAGCCAGGGCTTCAGTAACGTCGTCCTGACATTTATCAAATGCAAACTCTTTTTGGATAAGTCGCACAACGTTCTCCAGGGCAACATTCTGTGTTCCTTTATTCTGATGAGAAGTTTCTAGGATGAGTGAACCAGGAGAAGTTTGACCCACCGAGGTATCCAGTGCGTGATCTGATAAAAGGAACCTCTCCTCTGCATCAGTATTGGATTTCTTACAGGATACAAGGCACGGATTATTTTCATAGAGCTTGGTTTGAGTCTCTTTATTAATTGTCGTTGGCGCTAAAGCACCCATCTTCGCTTTGATGTCCCCCCATTTATTTTGTACGTCACCAAATCGATCCTTAATCACATTGCTTAGGGATGAATTTGTTTGCAAGGCTCCCTTAGCATCACAGGTCATTGCTGGTTCTGAAAGGAGCAGATGCAAACTCGGACAACAGCTGTAAGTTGCTTTTGAATGAAGGGGTTTATTGGGTATTTGCTCGGATATAGCTATCTGCACAGGTACAAGGGTCAGAACCCTTGTCTCTGGGTCCTGCTTTAAAAGAAAATTATTTACAAAAGCCATACTAGATGGGACAGTAGAGTCGGGATTAGCCGAGGGAGATGTTTCCAAAATGCATTTCTCTTGAGATACATATAAAGAGTCAGAAAGTGGTAAGTTGGGATCAGAGGCACTAGTACTGCTTGGAGATTGCTCTTCGGAATCCTTCTGTTGTAGTATTTTCGGTTCTTCTTCATTCTGCTCTGGAGCACCAGGCATCATACAGGTAGTAGACAAATTCGAAATTTCATCTGCCTTATTTTCATTGTCATTACTTGAAGGGGTTGGACTTCCGCTACTCACAAAGGATGCTCTTGTCATAGTTTCACAGGCTACCACGGGAGTTGCAGTGGCATCTCTGAAAAGTAAGAAGATGATTTACATAAGATTTACTTTGCCAAGGTGGCTGCTTTATTCTACAAGGTCCTGGTACAGTTATATCAATGTGATTTTTCACACCGACTATCTATCCATTGATGGTAGTAATTCTTGCTAAAGCAACTTCAAGAGCTGAAAGCCGATCGGTGTGGAAACAAAACAGTAGTGGTTTATGGGTAATGAAAGTCTATTCTAGGTATAGAATAGATAGAATTGAGTAACAGAGTTGGAAGGGACCTTGGAGGTCTTCTAGTCCAACCCCCTGCCGAGGCAGGAAACCCTACACCACTTGACAAATGGTTATCCAATCTCTTCTTAAAAACTTCCAGTGTTGGAACATTTACAACTTCTGGAGGCAAGTTGTTCCACTAATTGTTCTAATTGTCAGGAAATTTCTCCTTAATTCTGGGTTGCTTCTCTCCTTGATTAGTTTCCACCCATTGTTTCTTGTCCTGCCTTCAGGTACTTTGGAGAATAACTTGACCCTCTCTTCTTTGTGGCAGATTCTTAGGTATTGGAACATTGCTATCGTGTCACTTCTAGGCCTTCTTTTCATTAAATTAGACCTACCCAATTCCAGCAACCGTTCTTTATATATTTTAGCCTCCAGTCCCTTAATCATCTTGGTTGCTCTTCTCTGCTCTGTATCCAGAAGTATATAACGTTGCAAATTAAAAGAACACATGATACAAAAACATTCATGTATCTCATAAACTATACTAGGAGCTTGGATGTTTAACTTCTCTTGTTGAAGAGAAAACTAAACATCAACAAATACAGGTAGTCCTCCACTTACAACAGTTCATTTAGTGATCATTCAAAGTTACAACGGCATTGAAAAAAGTGACTTATGATTGTTTTTCGCACTGATGACCATTGCAGCATCCTCATGTGATCAAAATTCAGACGCTTGGCAACTGTCTCATATTTATGATGGTTGCAGTGTCCCGGAGTCACGTGATCCCCTTTTGCGACCTTCTGACAAGCAAAGTCAACAAGGGATCCAGATCCATGTAACAACAGTGTCACAAACTTAAATACCTGCAGTGATTCACTTAACAACTGTGGCAAGAATGGTCGCACAATGGAGCAAAACTCACTTTACAAATGTGTCACTTAGCAATAGAAAATTTGCTCTCAATTGTGGTTGTAAGCCAAGGACTACCTGTGTAGGCTCATGGATGGCAGCCAGCCCACATCAGAGCTTCAGGATAGCAGTGTAAAGTTAAGGGAAGGTCTGGGGAGAAAAGAAATACTCAATAATAAAGATTGTGTAAAGCAGGGGGGCCCCATTCTGTGGGCCAACAGCCCACTAACTGTCCATGGCCTATTCGCAACCAGACCACATGAATGGCTGGCTGGTGTACACGTATGTGCACACAGCATGTATGTGTACACATATGTGTACACCACTCACGCAAGCATTGCGGGAACTCACGGCCCCGCTTGCATGAGTGTTCTGGGTACTCGTGGCCCCAGTTGCGTGAACATCACAAACACTCAGGGCCTCACTCACATGAGCGTGGCAGATGCTTGCAGCCCCACTTGCATGAGTATCACAGGCACTTGCGGTCCCACTCACACACGTGCCTGCCCCTCTCACAAAACCATTCCCTCTTTCCCCCCTCTCCGGGCCGCCAATCCAGAAAAGGTTGGGGAACTCTGGTGTAGAGTTCAGGGCAGGAATGTTCTGTCATTAAGATTAACCAGACTTAAATTTTGGCAAATTAAAGACAGCACTGAAAACATCCAAACTTCTCTGTTGATAAAAAAAAAAATAGGAATAAAGGAACAAATTCAGGGGTGGGGGGAGTTTAAACTTGTTTCTCTCTGCAAAAAATCAGAAGATCTTTATGATGTGATTAGTTTCATCCTAGTGAACAGCATGGTATCATAGTATATAATAAACATTAACTTGCCTCCCATTCAGTGGAATTAATCATTGCCCGGACGACACACCACCAGACTTACATTTTATGATTTCCATTCTGATGCAGAATAATAGGCTTAAAATGAGTTGCTGAAGAAGTGAAGGCATTTGGTAATGTGATCCTTTCTCTGTTTAAAGGTGACTGGCAAGGAACTGGTCCCTTTACTGCTATCAGTTTGCTTTCATTGCTCATAGGCAAAAATCCTGAAAGTGGGAACACAATTATAACAAGAAAGAGATGCGTGCTGTTTAAAGAAAAGTGAACAACAGTCTCTAACGTGTTTGGCCACATTACTTAGATTTTTCTTATTAAAAAGGAATCGGTAACAGCAAGATAGGTAGAATAAAATACTCACCTAAGTTAGCATTTCCTGAGCAACTTTCATTTTGAAAAGGCCAGTTAACATTAAAAGAACCCTTTCCTCTGAGGTCCTATCAGCAGAATAATGAAGGGTGAGAAAAGAAAAGTCTTAGAAATACTGTTTTCAGCATCCATTCACGCAATCACGGGCACACCCCCAACACAGAGAGAAATAGAAATGTTTCCTCTTCTCTGCCTCAGGGCCTGAATTCTTTATACTTCCAATTTCAAGGAAGTCAGAAGAATAAAAGATAGAAGGAAGTCCTGGAGCTAAATGCCAGTTCTAAATCTAGGCTATTTAGAATGGTTTTCCTATTGTGAATGGTAGTCGAAGCTGCTCTGTACTATTATTTAGATTTTGTATAGACTGCTTTTAACCTCTTTCACCTCAAAAATCCCAATGCATAAAAAAATAAAATAAAGAAGTAAGTTTTCCCCAAAGCAGAGGGAAAGAAAAATCAGGTTATAGGAGCAAGAAATGTTAGGTTACTGAAATACTTATTTTCTGTTGCTTGAATCAATTGGCAGTTAATGGCCTTTAAAAAGGTCCAAGGTCACCATAAAACTATCGAAGGAAGGAAAGACGGAAATAATATATATATATATATATATATATTCATATTCTCTCCTACTCCCATTCTGCTGCCATAGCAACAGCAAAATAGGGGGAGGGAGGGTGGGACTAGTTCACCAAGTCCCTCCTCTCACACCACAATCTTGCCATTTTTATGAAGGATGTAATTTTAACAGGAAAGATACAAGCCGTTAGAGCAGGTGTTCAACCTTGGCAACTTTAACACTTGTGGATTTCAACTCCCAGAATTCCCCAGCCATCTGGCAAATTTTAGGAGCTGAAATCCACAGGTTTTAAAGTTGTCAAGATTGAACACCCCTGCATTAGAGTCTTTTTCTTAAAGAACAAGATAGAGCGTCATGTGCCTTTCTGATTGTAGTGAATTCTATTCTTTCCCACTGGAGACCCCTGAAGTTATTGAATTCCAAATTTATGTTCTGCTAATGATTAAAATGTTGGCATGCTTAAAGTATGGTTCTCAAATTTTCCAACCAATGTCTCTCACAGAGTTTTTGCTGAGGAAATGAAATTAAGGGATACACCTCATATACTGCTTTGGGCTCTCTGAGAAAAGCAAGATTATAAAATGTTTAGAATATATAACCTGCCTCACAAGATACTGTATAAATTTATTCATTCATTGGCCTAGAATAACATAAGAGCAAGAATGATAAAGGAAAGGCTGAATTTATTATGAGCGTGCAAATCAGTCAAGATCTAGTTTGAGATTTGATTTGAACACTCAGTATGATCTGAATGTGCAGTGTGATAATGCACAGTTCAAAAAGTTGAATCAAATCTATCAAAGTTACAGTAGAATGAAATGTATTCATGCACAGAAATCCACTGATTTTTCAAGTCAATTCAAATATCCAATGGTTAAAACACCTTCAAATCAAATATCTGATCTGAAGCTTTATATAATATTAATATCTGTGCCAAGCAAATATATGAATAAGGAATGAAAAATATAGAATATATAGGTTACACTATTTAATACAAGTACATGTGATTTATAATTGAGATGTTTATTATGCTGAACTACATCTCATGCAAAAATAATTATCCCAAATTTCCCACATCCCATGTTTGTTATAACAGTTTAAGTTATGGAAAACTAGAAAATTTGTGCATTACTTTTAAGTTGATTGGGTTAGTTCGAATAAGAATTGGTTTGGGCATTCATATTTTATTTGTCTCATCTTCTTTCATGTTTCATCTCTATATTCCATCACCAGAATTGTGACTGTAGACTGTATGGCAGCTGTGATGCTATTTATGGTACTTTATTATAATTACAATATTATATCTGTTGGAGTAATGGTCATTACTGAGCTGTATTCGAAAGTCCAAATAGAGTGTAGGTATTTTAGAACACAAACATGTGATGTTAATGTTTTTATAGTATTTGGATTCCGTAATTTGGAATCATTGTTAAGATAGGGTAGTGAAATGTGAATGGTTTCCATAATTATGGTCTATAAGAAGACTTTTTAAAATAAGTCTTGAAAACAGTTGAATTATTCTGTGATTTATTTAAAAAAACAACTTGCCTATGGATTATTAAAACTGTGGTACTGAACTGAAATGAGATTAAAAGAATGTATGGAGCAAAGTTAATTTTAGTCTGAATAGCCTGAACTTTACTGAAATAGAATGTCGACATAAACCCCACCAAAAATATTCATACCTGAAACGCCATTTTTGCTAAAACTTCTAGAATCATCTTGCTGCTGATATTTTGTTCAAGTAGATAACTACGACAAATCTAGAAATATGAAATTTCATGTTGAATTATAGACACCAAGAGCGAGGAGGTGTGTATTAAAAAAAAAAAAAACCTAGGCACCTTCAAAATAATTTAAATTTATGGAGAACCTTTACATAATGAAGTCAAAGTTGCTCAAAATTACTATTCCTTCAAAAATCCCATGAAGGTGTGTTGAAAACAGTCATTAGGGCAACCACACAAATTGGATGGATTCAAGCCAATAGAAATTTTTATTTGCTGCTAAGTTGGTTTATGGAAATAAAAACAAAAATTAAATTGCTGAATTTAATTCACCTTAATTGCATCTGCTAGAGAAGGGCGGTCTCCTGGCTTGCTTCTTGCCATATTCAGAAGAAAATCTTTCAGTTTCCCTGGCAACACCAATTTGTGATCAGGTGGAAAATTGCTTCTTGCTGTTCTCCACAAAATTGCAGCCATACAGTAAATACAGGCCTGTGGGAAATGGCGCAGTGTAAAGGCAGCTAAGTCACCGAGTTAAGTCTCATTTTATTTTCCCCTTGTTCTTGAATGCACAGGATTGAACATCCAAATCAACATAAAACTGGGGTGTTTGTTAAAACCATAACTGTCCAACAGATGAATTACGAGCTTCAGATCAAGTTTCTATGGTGATTCTCAGTCATCCAAGTCATGGCTGTCCCAAGGGTGCTTTTCAAAAGGCAACTGAATGTTTGTTTTTCCTTGAAAATGTTTCGCTTCTCATTCAAGAAGCATGTCAAAACTGAAGACTCTTCTTGGGTGAGAAGCGAAATGTTTTTAAGGAAAAACAAAGTCCAGTTGCCTTTTGAAAAGCACATTTGGGTTCAGATCAAGTAAATAAGTCTATTCTAGAGGTATCTTAGGCTGACACAAGTAAGTGTAATAATGGGCTTTCCTTCATCATTAAACCAAGCCACAGACACCTATTCATTAGTTGATCTCCAGATAAGTCAGCGACTATAATATGGAATAAAGTTGAAAATGTACACTCTTGCTTTTCAGGGATTGACATTAAGGAAGCTCCTTATAGGAAGCTTAGCCTTATCAATACTTGATAAGCTTTCGAATTACCAGAAGAACATATGGATGTTTGATATCCAATGATTGATCCAAAGACATCTGAACAATCCTGTGTATATCAACTCAAAAAATGGGATAAAGATCAAACCATGTAAATGTCAGCCTCACCAAGTAGTCCATGAATCAATTCCACAGGCAAAATAAGACTTTTGTATTGAGGGTGGCTATACAGAATCTTGCAAGTATGATTGTTTTGTACTTCCTCTTTCTTCTTACACACACATGAATTAGGGAGGGTATTTGTCTTACCACATAGCCATTGCTTGTTTGGGACGTAAGCCATGATTTTCTCCTTGTCACTTTGGTAATGGATCTGGCCCATCTCTGACAAAGTCATCCTCTTTACTGTTTACTTTAAGTTAATGTTCCAATTCCTGAGACGCATCTCTACACACTTAGCTCACTCTTAACATCCTTTAAGACAGGGGTCCCCAACCGCCGGTCCGCGGACCGGTACCGGGCCGCGGAACAACCCTTACCGGGCCGCTGGTTGCTGGGCGCCGCCATCTTTTTTTTGGTAAAAAAGCGCTTCCGGGTAGAAAGTTCACCGGAAGCGCCTTTTCGTCATAAAAAGATGGCGGCGCCCAGTTGACGCCGGTACCGGGCCGCGGCGCCCAGCTGATGTCGGAACCGGGCCGCGGCGTCGAAAAGGTTGGGGATCCCTGCTTTAAGATGTCTCTCTGTAGCTATATTGTTTAACATTCCCACAGAATTTATGACTGACTTATTAATTTTTTCTCAGCATTAATTTTATTCGATTCATTCCATTCCACTCCTTCACATATCATTACTGGCCTTCTTCATATCCACTTTTCACAGATTTTTAAATCTTAATTATTCCTTGTTTTCGTTAACTATATTATTTGCAACTATATTTTTCTTCTCTATATATGTGAGAGCTGAATGAAAAATAAGACCACCAATCTTATAAGTTACCAGCAAATAGCAAAAGGACATATGTACCAGTGTGCAATTTATCTTCTATGTTTTTTTATAATTAAGGCCTATAGGCAGAACCTCCACTTTTCAAAAAGGATTACTAAAAAGCAGACAAATTGCAGCATCCTGAAATATAAAGAAACTATGTATAGGGAGTATAAATCTGGATAGAATTTGTCTTGGAGTATAGCTCTTTTTAAAGATGGATCTTCATTAAAATATAATGCAAAGTTCATATATTTTAATACCTTTTCAGTAACAAAACCCTCTTCTGCTGCCTCAGGAGCCAAGTAAAACCTATCCAAAGATTCTAAAAGTAAAACAAAATGCAATAGAAATGTTAATTTTTGCAACCAAATTAAATGAAACTTAAAAAGTATTAACCACAGCAAGATGTATTTACCTTCATTTCCATATGGAACAAAAGTAATACTTCCATCATGATTGATTACTATAGAATCCAAACATAAATACGCTGGAAAATAGACAATAACATTAACAATATTAACAGGGCTTATAATATCACTGACATCTATTTTGATTATTTGGTTATAAGACAGAATAATTAAATTATGAAATGTTGAATTCTGACAAAGTACACTGTTATCTGACCATAGGTACATTAGAAGCTTATGCAGTCATTTAGAGATACAGTGTCCTTGATACATTTTGCTGGCTGTGGGATTCTGGCAGTCCACACACGTCAAAGTTGCTGAGAAACACTGCTCTATTTAATACCTAAAGGATTTTCTTGTAATCATGAGTTTATGTGGGAGTTAAAGTAAGATGGTCCAAATCTCTCAGCCTTTGAGGTAAACCTCAGGTGCAGGGAAATTTCACTCTACAAAATTGGCATGTTGGTGCAGCCTTCCATCCTTCCGAGGTGGGTAAAATGAGGACCCAGATTGTTGGGGGCAATATGCTGACTCTGTAAACTGCTTAGAGAGGGCTGTAAAGCACTGTTAAACGGTATATAAGTCTAAGTGCTATTGCTATTGTAGGACCTTCTGGTTGGATATACTGTAATTTGACTGTGTAATGGCTAGCACCTTGCTCGGATTATCCAAAACCCCAGGGAATTTGAATATATAATATGATGTCTAAGGCCAGGGGTGTCAAACCTGATTTCACTGAGGGCCGCATCAGGGTTGTGTTTGACCTCGGGGGGCTGGGTGGACGTGGCTAGGGTGGGCATGGCCAGCTCGTCACTTGTGTCGGGGGCACCTGTGGTAGCCTGAGCACTCTGCCAGAGAAAATGGAGCTCATTTTCGCTGGCAGAGGATTGCAGGAGGCCATCGCAGCCAAAAACGGAGCTGAGGAAAGCTCCATTTTCACTGGCAGAGACACTGTGGGCCGGTCCTTCTTGAGTTTGACAGCCCGCCTTAGGCAATTGTCAAGCTTATATTAGTTTGGTTTTTAAAAATAAAAACAAACAAGCATAAAGGTAGATTTCTTCAATATGCCAAAGCTGCAAATAAGATCATTGTCTGTGGCAAAGTTTATGAAGTGCTAAACAAGCATTAAGAACATTCATGCAAGCCCAAAATTTTGAAATAAATAGAGAAGGACCTATTAACAATCTGTACTGACAGTGGAAATTTTACCTGCCAGATGAACACACAGATGCTCACCTGAGGTATTATTACAGAAATTAGCATCTTAAGATATTAAATAGCTAAGTTAAAAATTCTCAAACCATGCCTTTACTTTATAATTCCTTTGTGGTATTTGGTGGCATGGAGACAATGACTTTATAGTGGTAATAAAATAGAAATGTGATGAATTATTAACTATATGTATTCATGTGTCATTACACACAGTTTAAGATTCTTGTTCAAGAATGCCTTAAAGATATATCAATTTACAAAAAGGAAGTGTGAAATATTCTAGCAACTGAGGCTCCTACAAGTTTCTATTACGTAGATGATAAATAATATCTGAGTTATAGTCAACATTAAAATATAAGAAGTTTATTTTACAATCCATTTTTCTATTGTAAGGATCAATGTAGTCCCTCATCCTTTCATAGCCACTACTTTTTATTAGCTGGTTGGCTACGAGGTACAATAGGAAGCCAAAATGCATATCTCTAAAGTATCTATTCACTCCATACCGAGAGCATTGAAAAAAAAATGAAGCGTGTTGTAAATATTAAAATAAAAAAATACATTAGTTAAAGAAAAAATAGCAAAAGTCATACCTGGATAATCTGTATATGTCTCCAGAGTGAGCAAACATTCGTGGCATAAAGCCCAGAGTTCATAATCTTTCAAGGGTTTACCATACTGTATTAAGAGATGTTTCAGAAAAACACACTGAAAGCAAAATGTTAAGGACAGTTGTGAAACAAAAAGTGTTTTTGAGGCCATACTCATTACAATGTGTGTTAAATTTAAATTACAATATATGCATGTTAATCTATGAACATAAGTTATTGCATTTATGATATAGGTAATACCTCTTCTCAAAATACCGGGATTTTTCTCACTTTCTCCAAAAATACAAACAGTAATGCCTTAGTGCCTTTGATATAAATATGCAAAAGAATTACTTTTATTTCTTCTTCTAGCACACAGAGAAATAGGTTCCACCCAAATATAATGCAATATTATATAGTTATAAAATTAGAATATGAAACTATACAATTATACAATTGTAAAGATTCATGTTCTTCTCGAACAAAAAGGAGTAAATAAGGCGATCGAAAATGCACAGAAAAGTTATTATAGAGGGTTACTTTTTTCACCTTGATTGATCAGTGAAATAAGAGAGAATCCTATTAAAAGCAATAATATTCATCCTGCCTTTATTACTTTTATAAATAACTCAAGGTAGGGAATATACCCTTTACTCCTTCCTCCTCCTCTTTGCATTGCAACAACCCCCTTGTGATGTGAGTTGGTTGAGAGAAAGTGATTCCACAAACTAGTTGGCTTTGAGCCCATGGTGGGACTAGAACTCACAATCTCCCAATTTCTAGCCTGATGCCTTAACCACTAGTTCAAACTGGCTCATGCTAATGATTGAGAGACCATTTGGCTTAGAAATAGTTTTAAAAACGAGGGTCAAACCATGCAACAAGCCAACAGAAAAATAAAACTTTTCCTTGGACCACACATAGATAGTTTTATCTTATAAAAAAAATAAAAAATATAAAAAATATATATAAAAGTTTATCTTGTAAACAATTGGCAAATCAAATAAATAAATAAATAAATAAATAAATAAATAAATAAATAAATAAATAAATAAATAAATAAATAAATAAATAGTTTTGCTATAAGAACAGCAGCAAGCACAGTGCAAAACAGAAGGACCTTGCAACCAGGAACAACAAAGGACAGGAACAGCAACAACAGTACAAGTAGAAAAAGAAGAAATGACTTGAGTAGGATTGTAGTTGAGTGATATGAGAAGACTGAGACAACTCTTTCCCTAGGGCTCCTGGCTGTGTTCTTTAAATCATAAGTAGCGTTTTCTAAAGTGAGATGGTCTCTTAGTGTCCTTGCTTTTTCTGGTTGAGACAGCTAGCCTGAAACCTGGTTAGACAGAGGAAGCCCTCTGTGCTCACCTACCCAGGTCTTGGTGATACACACCAGGAACCTCCTCTTCACCATTATTAAGCTGTGGAGGAGCATGGTCTTATTACAAACAGGGCTGGGATTCAACAGAATTAACTGGAGTCCAAAGACTCCAGTAATCTAGCATCTTGGGTGGAGGTAGGTAGGAAGGGGTAGAAGAAGGAATTGGAATTTAAAACATCCAGTCTATTTTTGGAAACTTCCAGGGACGGAGCACCCACAGCTCCGGGAGGCAAGCTATACCATTCATTGCTCTTACTGTCAGAAAATTTCTCTTTACTTCTAGGTTGGATCTCTCTTTAACAAGCTTCCACCCATTACTTGTCCTGCCCTCTGGTTCTTTGGGGAATAAGTCAATCCTTCCCTCTCTGTGACAGTCCCTCGAGTACTGGAGATAATCCTTTCTCTATGATCCTCTCCTGGCCTTCCTGCCTATTGCTGATTTCTCAGCTGTCTACCATTTCTTCAAAATGGGGTACAGGAGACTTAATTTACCACCCTGTCCCCAAGGGCTCCTCTCGTTAGATGTCTCTCTTTCTCTAAGTCCCTCACTCTTGAGAATGAGGCTGTTCCCAGTTTACCAGTTTTTTTTAAAAGCTTATTTCCTTTGCTCCTTGAATAAAAAGGAATCTTCCGAATTTTACAATTCCAATGAGTAGATTTGAATTTTCAAGGCACTCTCTCTATAACTACATCTAAAATTGAAGACACCTGGAACCCAGTCGAAAGTTAGGCTTCATATAGTTGAACAAAGAAGATTAATGATAAAGGAAGGACTTCAAGTGATGTTTAGGCAGGAAAAAAACTCCTGTCTAAAATTCTGGAATCTCTAGTACCAAGACCAAATCAAATGCAGTATTGATCTAGTGCAACTGTTCTGAAGTTTTATTATGTATGGCCTACCACCTCATCATCAAAAGGGTTGAAGACCATTTGATAAGCCAAGGCTTAGGCGCTCGTGGACCTCATGCTATATGTCTTCCTTCTAGCTGTCAAAAGACTTCCCCATCAATTAATTAGAATATTTTAAAAATTAAAGTGGACAGCCTCTGAGAAGACTTGTAACATCTTGTCAGATTTGGCAAACTTTTTAAAGTTTTGGCTTTTGTAAATAAAGTTTTTTTTCCTAGCATCTGCACTGGGGACTACCTAACGTGCCCTGTTAGAGTAACTACCAGTAGCCAGGAACCAAAGTTTTACTGCTAAGAGTTTATCTCATTTATAAATATTAAGAACAACATTTTTGAATACTTAAAGCTCATGGATAGTAGAAAAGGAAAATTGTAAGTTTATTTTTGCCTCTTCATCCACTGTACTTTGTGTTTGAAAGCTTCAATATTTCAGGGAGCATTCTTTTCCTTCTAAGTGGACAAAGGTTGGATTATTATTATTTTAGTTTTGTTAAAAAAAAAATCCCTTTTCTGAGAATTAAAAGGAATTCTTTCCTGAAAACTGCATCCAGCTTCTGAACAGATTTATCTAGGGATCGGAATAATAGTGACTCTGGGAAACTTATATATTGGCCATCGGCAACTTGATTTTCACTTCTGTGACAGTCTGAGGTTGAAATTATCAGAACAAAGCAAGAGAACATACGAAAGTTTTATATTGTAGTTCAAAAGCCATGGCAACTGCATGAAAAAGAGACCCGGCAACGAGGTTAAAATTAAGGTTAGAGAAAAAGACTTTTCAGTCACACCTGAATTGGTTTATTTATGAATTGCAAAGAAAAAGCCATTTAAAAAGTCTGAAGATACAGTTATGAAGTTGGCAGGCAGAAGGTTTCGCAATGTAATTTTGACATAAAGCAAAGAGGAGCATAGAAGCATGAGGATGACATTAAAGTTGACCGATCGAGCATCTTAGGAAATTTATGTTATTTTCGAGACAAAAGGGAACATTAAAATTAAGAAAGCTGGAATCTAAGGAGCGCGTCAAGATTTGTACAGTGTTGCTATTTCCAAAATGAACACTACCTAATGCAAGCAGAAAACATTCAAATCATTCCTGAACACTGAACCAAACTGCAAATTTTACTTCTCTGTTTCTCTTTGTTTTACTCATATAATAGCCTGCTTTTACTGTATGAATAGGACTTCTTATGTATATCCCTGGCATCTTATTTTAAAACCTTCGTGTACATGGTAAAACTAAGGGATACTGGTATAGATCATAACAGCCTCAGACATAAAATTGCTTCTAATTCTCCATCTACAAGTTACTATCAAAAAAACAATTCACCTACTGCCAGTGATACTTCTCCAGTACACTTTTTCCAGCATCTATTACATCAAGAATTGACGAAAATATCCCATTGCTGAGAAAAGCATTCTGCCTGACGAGTCTGACATGCCACATGTATCAACTTTTTTAAAAAAGTGAATCAGAACCTTGATCTTTATAAAATTGGCCGTAAAGTGGTTCAAAATAGTGGTTTTTAATTTAGCGTGATAAAGTAGAAATTTACTTCATTTATATTTCAGTTGTGTTAAATTTAGCCACTTAAATTTTCAAACCCAAAGGTTTATTAACAATTTCCCGTTCAAACTTTCCTTTTTAAAGTGCTGGTAATAAAAAGTTGCCCCACTACCTCACCACAGTATATATGTGTTAAGTGTGTTTAATTGTAGGGCGACACTCCCCCATCTCCACAAAGAAATAAAGTTCTTTCTGTGCCAGACTAATTAAAATAGTTTTTAAATGAAGGATTTGTTTTCGCTACCTCATTGTTTCCTATTTCTGAATCCCCGTCGTCATATTGTCTGTCTTCATTCCAACAGTCTTTTCTCTCCCTGTGTTTCTCTTCAGGTGAACTTAGCATGCTTGACTTACATCCATCTTCCTTAAAGGCCATAAATGTGGGAGACATTTTGTTAATATGAAACAAACAGTTTTCACCTGATTTTAGAGGAGTTTCATTGCGGAATTCACTTACACAACAGTTTTCTAATGCATTCTGTCCAGTATTTGTTTCTTCTGTTGCATGTGATGGATTATTTTGGCCTGAAGTCTCAGAAACAGCACAACGATATGGAAAAATATCCACAGTTTCTTTGTCATCACTATAGTTTGGATACACTGAAGATGTATTTGGGCTCAGACAAAATTCTCCAAAATTGTTATGCGGAAGAGATGCTGATTTTGATTCAGGATGATCACACTGAATTAATGTTCCTTCTAAGAGAGTATCCTCAGTACAACCAGGTTGTAACTGACACTGCTTTCTTGTCAGTGAAGTGTGATGCTCTATAAAAGATAAACATGTTCTTGAGTGTGTCTCAGAGTTAAATGGCACATTTGGAAAAGTTCTAATTTTCCTTAAACAGTATCTCTCAAATGTATCTCCTTCCGCTCCGGTTGCATATGGATTGGCATCTAACTCCTTGTTGCGTTTCATAAAACTGTTCCTCTCTTGACTTTTTGTAACCCAGGTTGAAATACTTTGGCAGCAAACTCTTTCCTTCCTCTTGTTGATTTTCATGGTCTTTACATCACTGTTTCCATCATTTGGAGCATAGGTGCCAAAAGAACTTTCACTTCTAGCAAACTTCAAGTCCTCTGGTGATGGTGTTCTAGTCTTAGCCAAGTTATCACCTGGGCACTCTTCATACGGCGAAGGGTTCTCATAGAATGTCCCTTCCCAGATGTTATCAGAACTGTCTAGATACAAAGAAAGAGGCTTTTATTAAAAGCATTTTTTCCTCCTGCCTCCTCATCCCATCCTGAATTTGTTAGTGCTACGAAAATTAGAAATTAATACGGGGTGCTATTATCAAAACTTAAATAAGAAAGGGTAACTTGAAAAAATACCAAACTATTGATGGCTTCCCATGATATTGTGCACGCCAATAATCTTTCCATCATGTCACAGCCTGGAAGTAACATCTGGGTAAGATTAGGCTAACTAGATCATTGCCAACCATCGCTTACATTGCATCTCCAAACTTGGCAACTTTGAGACTTGAGGACTTCAACTCCCAGAATTCTCCAGCCGGGATGCCGGCTGGAGAACTCTGGGAGTTGAAATCCACAAGTCTCAAAGTTGCCAAGTTTGGAGACCTTTGGCTTATATGCTTGCTTGAAAACGTCAACACATCCACAATGCCAAACAGGAGGCTTGGAAATTCACATTTCCTTATAAAAAGAGAAGACTATTTCGAAGTACAGGTCATCCTCAATTTAGCAGTAGTTGTTTAATGACCATTTGAAGTTATAACAGGCTTTCTTGGTGCTATTTGTGCCCTAGATTTGAAATTTTGACTGCCTTCTGTCACATGATTGTATTTTGGATGCTTCGCAACCAGCCTGCATTTATGGCCATTTGCAGCATCCTGTGGTCACATGAGGGTGATTTACAACGTTTCTTGCCAGAATCTAGCATTTACTGCGGGTTTCGGGGTGGGGGGGAATGTTCACTGAGTAAAACTGATTCAGTTAATGACCACAGTTTGCACTTAACAACTGCTGCATAAAATGTCATAAAACTGAGTGTGGTCATGTGGTGATCCACTTAACAACCAGCATGACTTACGATTAATTTTGGGATTAATTGTGATCGTACGTCAAGGACTATCTGAATATAGAATAACAGAATTGGAAGGGACCTTTGAGCTCTTCTAGTCCAATCCCCCTGCTCAGGCAGGAAATCCTATACCACTTCAGACAAATGGTTATCCAATCTCTTCTTAAAAACTTCCCATGTTGGAGAATTCACAACTTCTGGAGGCAAATTGTTCCACTGATTAATTGTTCTAACTGTCAGGAAATTTCTCCTTAGTTCTACATTGCTTCTCTCCTTGATTAGTTTCCACCCATTGCTTTTTTGTCCTGCTTTGGCGAATAGCTTGGCTCCCTCTTCTTTGTGGCAGCCCCTGAGATACTGGAACATGGCTATCATTGTCTCCCCTAGTCCTTCTTTTCATTAAACTAGACATACTCAATTCCTGCAACCGCTCTTCATATGTTCCATCCTCCAGCCCCCTAATCAGAGGTGGGATGCTACCGGTTTTGCCTGGTTCTATAGAGCTGGTAGCTTTGAAGAGCAGCAGATGTCACCTTTAAAATTCAGCTGTCACATTTCATGAAAGGGGGGGTGGAGAAGTTGAAAAGTTCAAGGTTATTCTGTATGTCGTATTAAGAAATTCCAGTTGCAGTTAATTGGTCCTCATGATTTATGAAGTGTAGAAGTGGGAGGAGAGAAGGGAGGAGAGAAGGTGGATTCTGTGTAATGCGCGAAAATAATTTCACTTTGGGAAATTGCCTTTGAAATGCCAGATCTGTTTCTAATTAAATCATTTGGAGAGAAAATGTCTCAGAGTGATTGATATCATGGATACTTTCTGGATGCCTTACAGCAGACACAGAACCGGTTCTGTGTTTGCTGCTGTTTGGCCCACCGGCCTGCCCGGGCTCTTACCTGTCCTTTATTTCCTGCACAGCTGAGGTTGAAAAAACAGGGGAAAAGAGACTTTTCAAACGCTGTGCACCTGCATGTGCATAAAACGTAACACGCAAAACGTAATCACCGGACTGGTTGTAACGCTGGTTGAATCCCACTCCTGCCCCTAATCATCTTTGTTGCTCTTCTCTGCACTCTTTCTAGAGTCTCAACATCTTTTTCACATTGTGGGGACCAAAACTGGATACAATATTCCAAGTGTGGCCTTACCCAGGCATTATAAAGCGGCATTAAAACTTTGCATGATCTTGATTCTATCTCTCTGTTTATGCAGCCTAGAACTGTATTGACTTTTTTTAAAAAAATTATCCTGTACATAAAGAACTAGATGTCACTTCAGCCCATACAATTCATGAGCAACAAACATTGTTTTGATATTATTACTCCAAGGTCCATAATATGCATCAAAATATGCAAACTATACCTTGAAAGGTGCCATATGATTCAATTGAAAGCATTTTTCTTCCAGTGGCTGAAAGAGCCTGGCAAATATCAGTTGGGGAGGAAAGCTTGAGTTTCTCTTTGCATAATGATATAACAACCTACAATGACAATTATATAGAGACACGTTATCAATTATCTAGCTGCGTTTTCATATGTTCCAACCAATTAACATTACCTTGGAAATTTCAGCATTTGCATATCTCGTCAACTGTTGATTTATTATGTGTATACAAATTAGTATGTAGCATAATATTTGAAAATGTTTTATTCTGTTTAAAATATAGATATGATAATAAAATATAATATAATTTATATTGGGAAAATACCTTATCTGCTTTTTTTGTACCAACATTTGAGTTAAAATTCCACCCTTCGTTCATTTTTTGGTAGGGGATTTTAAATGAATAAAAAGGCTTCGAATTAGGTTTGCAATATGTTATAGCAGAAATCAAGTTTCAATAGTAAACATGCAGCATCTCCTAGTAACTAAAACAGCAATTTCCAGGAAACAGAAATGTAACTAAAAATGCAGCTGAAGTCCAAGCACTGCACTTTGCTCTTCAGAGATTTATACTTTGGACTTAAAAATGAAACATGAGTATAAGTAAACCCAACGGGGCACACACTCATTCACAAGTTTATGACAGCGATGAAAATTGTGAATGAAAAGACCACTGTTGGGTTCTTTTCATTCAGAAGCTTTGTTCGGGGTTGCTCAAGATTTATTCTGGGGAAGGACTGGATTGATAACTTTCTGGAAGGCTGTTGTGACATATTTAGGAGAATTGAAAAGATTTGGGGCCTTTAACTAAATGAAGTGGCTTAACTGGATCCCTTCCAGTCTGTGTTTAGACCTGGGCATGGGACCAAGGTTGCATTGATTGGTCAGATAGATGACTTTGGCTGAAACATGGAAGAAGGGTGTATGTACTTTTGCTTCTACAGATATCTTAGTACCATTTAATAGCATCCATCATTCTATTCTTCTAGATTGCCTACAGAGCAAATGATGAAGAGACACCATGTATGAAGGATCTTTCTGGAGTATATGATTCTAACTGGTGATCATGAGGGGAGATGTCCAGTCTGTGGTTGTGCTATTGTATGGGACCCTAGATCACAAGGGGAGATGTTCATCTGTGCTCTATTATATGGTAACCCACTCACCCATGATATTTAAAATCTGGAGTGAAGCAGCAGCTTAGGTAGATCAAATATTAATTTAGGATGAAATATCAACATAATGCTGCAAAAACTCAGTTGCACACCATCACCCCAGGCCAGACATGCAGTAAAGGTAAAAGATAAAGGTTCCCCTTGCACATATGTGCTAGTCGTTTCCAGCTCTAGGGGGTGGTGGTCATCTCCGTTACAAAGCCGAAGAACCAACGCTGTCCGAAGACGTCTCTGTGGTCATGTGACCGGCATGACTAAATGCCGAAGGTGCACGGAACACTGTTACCTTCCCACCAAAGTGGTCCCTATTTTTCTACTTGCATTTTTACATGCTTTCGAACTGCTAGGTTGGCAGAAGCTGGGACAAGAAATGGGAGCTCACTCTGTTACGCGGTGCTAGGATTCGAACCACCGAACTGTCGACCTTTTTGATTGACAAGCTCAGAGTCTTAGCCACTGAGCCACCATGCAATAGCAGCTGTTATTTAGCATCTGGAGACATGTGAGAGACTGTATAGCCAAAACAACTTTAAACTGAAGGAATAGATTTTGAGGGCTCTCCTGGGCTCCCTGGCTCTTACTGCAGCAGCAAGCATAAGTCTTGGGCAAGGAAGCCTTAACCCAGTTGGCATTAGAAGGTCCAATTGGTTTCTGCGTTTAATTCAAAATGCTGGACTCAGCTTATAAAGTTTATGTGGGTTGATTGTTGTCAACTTTCTAGGCGATCTTCTCCTGTTACCGTGTTTCTCATATAATAAGGCCAGGTCTTATTTTTTTTGGGGCCCCGAAAAAACAGCTAGGCCGTCTTTTTGGGGGTGACTTAATTCCCCCCCCTTGCATCTTAGGGCGGGTGGTGACAGCTTTGATGTTGACCTCGGCGTTGGTGGGGCACTTTGTATCAGGGTCAACGCAGGCAGCACCATATCTGGGTGTGCAACAAAAGTACTTCCTAACAACAAGCCCCGCCGCCATTTCGCATGTTTTAATATAGGCCTTAATTTGGGGGGGGAGGGGCTTAATTTCATTTCATGCCTATAAAACATGCTGGGACTTCCTATTGGGGGAGGCCATATTGTTGGAGAAACAGGGTATCCTGTCCATGTATTCACCTTTGGATAGAATGCTTAGATCAGGGGTCCCTAATCCCTGGTTGAGGACTGGCAGTCTGCGCAATCAAGCGAAGCCCCATCTGTGGGATGCAGGCAGTACGCAAAACCACGTGCCCTCTTGTCCATGGAAAAACCTCTCTCCAAGGAACTCCTAAAAGGTTGGGGGCCATGGCTTAGATTGTCCACCTCAATGGAGTAACCTCGAAATGCTTGCCCCTTGAGGTGCATTTTCCTCCCACAATCTTGTCCTTCTACAAAACCCTGAATTTTACTGCCATGTTTCAGATATTACTCGATGGGGGTGGGGGTAGGAGGGTGAGGAATTGAGAATGCTTTAAATTGGATTTGTGTTTTGATTTAAAAAAGAAGAGTTAGTGCAATGTTATCTATTATTGTGGGATTTGGGATTTGTTTGAGAGTTTGTTGTTCTGCTTTGCAATTTGCCTTGAATCTTTGGGAGCTGGCAGAGTATACATTTTTGCAATAAACAAATAAAATATACATATGAGCAATGTCAAAGTATTTGAGCCAAACAAACCAAGTAACTTGCCAAGTCTAAAATATTCTGATAAACAAACATTACATACAATCCTGACTTCTTAGGTTAGCACATAGTTCATTTTTTTCTGATATTATGGTAAGCATCATAACTGTTATGACCTACAATTCATTTCCTTGCAATGCATTATTTTAAAAATTCCACTGAGTACGTTTATTTAGAATGTTTGCCCCCCTAAAAACTCAGGCACTAATAAAGGAAAGGTATATTTCCAAACTGTTATCCTTTTGATAAAGAAGAATAGTAACTCCTATGCAGAAATGACAAATTATATTAATGCCAAACAACACATACTGTATTCACTTCTCTATATAACAATAATGCTTACATTTCAAGGAAAGATGTTTTACCCATATTTAGCTTCGGCCAATTATCTTCTAATGAAACAGTGAAAGGAAGATTGGATAAATGTTGCAATTCATGACGACAAATCAGGTTCAGTTGACAAAATAATCTTTACCTCAATGTCTGGCCTTTCTTTAGGATTTTCTTTCTGCATTTGTCCAAGCAGAGAATAGAGATCCTGGCTAAATTCCGGATCCGTTTCAGTTTCCATTGTATACTCTAGTGCTGCTGTTAAAGTAGCTCCTAAGGAATACAGATGGGCCTGCAGAAATTAAAAGCAAAAACAAGGTACTTTATCAAGTACCACTTTGTATTTAAATCCAACTTAGCCTCACTAAAACCAGTGAGTTATAATTAACATTATCTGGAAGCTTCAGATGGTGCAGAATGCACTATTCAAGCAGTTTTCTTTGAGCTGCATTGGTTTTGCTTCCAGGTCTAATTGAGGGTGTTGGTTACCACCTTTAAAGTCCTTCATGGAGTTGGTCTAGGCTATCTGAGGAACTGTCACACCCACGCCGGTAGAAAAAGCATGCAATGGACTCCATCCGTCAAAGACTTTTGTTTGGCGGGATCCATCCTTTTGGCCTTCCGAAAGGGTTTGAAGACATGGCTGTGCTAACTGGCCTGGTGCCCCAATGGAGATCTGGCATTCTGAAGATGGGTAATAGATTAGATAACATCCCAACTCCTCCCACTGTCCCAAAGTGTCTACCTTGCTCCCTTTCTCTCCATCTTGGTCAATTTAATTTTCACTGAGTTTTAAATTTAAGATCTTTATTGTTTTAAAATTTTATTGGACATTGTAATGGAATGAATGTAAGCAGCCTAGAATCACCCTTGGCAGATGGGCAGCATATACATTGAATGAATGAATGAATGAATGAATGAATGAATGAATGAATGAATGAA